ATCCAGGTGGGTTTATTTGTCTTCAGCTTCACCACAGAAGCCCACAGAGGCTGGTGCTGTGATATAAATGAAAAAAAATAAGGTTTTTTTTTCACCATTTGACAAAATGCGAGTGTTTTAAGATTATGCCAAGGTGCAAATCATGTTTTATTTTACCTTATGCAGGGAAGCAATCAGTCTATGGAAGTACTATATACACTGCTGTTTCAAATAGCCTTAGAGCTGCTTTTTAAGACTAGAAGGTTCCATGAATGTTTTGAATTTATCAGACATGCTAATAAGAACAGCTTCTTTTTTTTTTTTTTTTTTTTTCACTTAGATGATCTCCAGAGGTGCCTTCCAACCCCAAATATTCTCAGTAAGAAATTTTTAGTGCTTTTCAGTAAGTGCTGGCCTGTCTGCCTCAGGCCCATGCAGCAGCTCCACTCCTCTTATGTATGTTCTTGCCAGTTTTTCAGTCCAACCATCTGCAAACAATGAGCAGCTCCAGGAACTTTCTTGTTCAATCTCAGTTTTCCTGGCTCAGGTCATACTTTCTGAGCTTGTTGCACTGTATGACTGACAGCCTGAAGATGTTGCCTGCATTCAACAGAAATTCTAGCTATGGTCAGTTATGTCCTGGGAAATTCAGTTCTCTCCTACAGATAAACAAGGGCATTGCATCTTACGTGGCTGTTCCTGCAACATTAGGAGTTATTCTCTTGGGCACACTCATACTGCCAAAGGAATTGACTATTATGCGTGCAGGTGTAAGGGGCTCTTCAGGGAGCTACTTACTGAAACAGGGGAGAACCAGGTTTTTGGTTAGTTCAGTTATGCTGTATCTTCTGGCCATTTTTAAATGCATCTAGAAATGGAAGACTTCTCAGTGTTACGCAGACTCACCATGTTAAGAATTCTTAGTAGTCTGGTGCAGTTCTTCTTTAGTCAGGAGACCCTGTCCCTCAGTAGGATTTCACAGAAGCATAAGAATGGCTTGGGTTGGAAGAGACCTTAAAGACTATCAAATTCCAACCCTCTTGCCATGGGCAGGGCTGCCACCTGCTAGATCAGGATGACCAGGGGCCACATCCAGCCCGGCCTTGATCATCCTTGAGGATCCACAGCTTCTCTATGAGGTTTTATGGATCAGAATTTGAAATATTGTTGCTTTGCAGTTCTCACTATTGGTGGCTTTGCAGTGGGATGATTCCATTCCTGCTATCTGCAGAGTTGCTCGTGGGAGCTGTTTTCTATCATTAGAACAGTTTTCCATATCTTTTCATTTAGGGATTCATGAAAATTCCTTCCACGTAAATAGGATTTTTATGGGGAGTACTGTTTGGAGATACCCACTGCATCAGTGTGCATATGGACAATTTCTCTGTTCCTGATCTTCCTGTGCCCATTCCCAAGCTGCCCTCCTGCCCTCTTTTTCCAAATGCCTGAAAGATTTATAGGGAATTGGAGGAACTTCAAATTAATTAATTAAACATACGTGTGTTCACCACCCATTTTCTGGCCACAAGCAGAGAGAACTTGTGCACATCTCTCTAGATACTACTCAAGCAAAATATGTCAGCCTACAGTATTTGTATAGAAGCTCACTCACTCACTATGAATAAACATGAAGTGTGCATCTTGAAGAATAATGCCTTCAGCCAGGTAGTCTTTCTGAAGTGCTTTGTCTACTGGTATGCTCTGGAGTTACCACCTGGTGTTTGTGGGGGGTGATTTTCCAGTTGCTTGGCAGATGAAGGCTATTCCTTCCATTCTGTGCAGATGCTGTTCAGTCACCCACAAAGGGATTCATGCTTTTTTCCATCTGTGATTTCTGTACTTTCAGCTGTATTCCAGCTCTTACCATCCTTGTATTTCAGGATGTTTGAGAGAGGTTATCAAGATGCATCTTCCTTGTTTTCTAGAGTAACTGGACACCACAGCCTGTATGTTACACTGTCACAGAGACACAGCCCTGAAGAACATTGATAGCTCAAAATAATGTTTATTTTGAAGAGAGGCACACATCTATAGTGAGATACGCATCTGTATTCAGTACCTCAGTTACAGTGTGACTTTGCTTCTTGCATCCAGAAACTCCTAGATGTTTCAAGCTAGCAAGTGAATCATACAATTTCATCTGTTTCTAGCTACTGTCATTTCAGAGGAAAAAAAAATGGAGGGTCAATGAAATTTATGTTAGATATAAATGCAGTCCACATGTGTGTGAATATCTTACTGTTCATATCCCTTTTAATAACGTGGTTTTTGTTACAAATGGATAGCATCTATTTAACATAAACACAGTTGACAGGATTTGGACCTTACTTCTGAATTTCCACATAGGATAAGACTGACTTGAAATGATTCTTTCATCCCTTCCACATTTTGGAGGGATCTCAGTGGAGGATCTCTGAGCTGTGCCTGTTCTGTGCCAGCACAGGTGATTTTGTGTGGAGTAAGCAGGGTACCTCCTTTCTCTCCCTGAATATGAAGGTAGTTCCTTAAGATCAGTGGATTCAGTGATGGGGGAATCCACTAAAACAGAGGTGTGGAAAAAAAACCAACACCTAAATAGGAGAATTTGCAGTTAGAGCTCTTGGGAAGCTTTGTTTTATTTTTTAGTGATGGAAGGCTTCTATAAGCAAGAAACTAGAAAGAACAAATAGTGATAGGACAAGGGGGAATGGTTTTAAACTGAGACAGAGGAGATTTAGGTTAGATATTAGGAGGAAGCTTTTCACTCAGAGGGTGGTGATGCACTGGAACAGGTTGCCCAAGGAGGTTGTGGATGCCCCATCCCTGGAGGCATTCAAGGCCAGGCTGGATGTGGCTCTGGGCAGCCTGGTCTGATGCTGGTGACCCTGCACATAGCAGGGGGTTGAAACTACATGATCATTGTGGTCCTTTTCAACCCAGCCCATTCTGTGGTTCTGTGATTCTGTGACGTTTCCTATTGTTTCCTAATTTTTTTTTATTTCTATGAAAAGATAGTTCACATTTGCTGTAATTCTTGACTATTCTGGTTATTCCATCGCTGCAATCAGAGGATCTGCATGAGTCCTACATCTAAAAGGATTTCTAAAAAATGTAAGAGTAAAGATCACCTGTCTTTATTGCAGGATGTTGCAACGCATAGCTGAGCACCACTGATAACGAATCACTCTTTGAAAACAAGTAAATATTACAGCTGAATGGCTATGGAGAGCAATTCTTAAAACAAACATACTTTACAAAAATCCTGTAAGGCTCTCTCCCTGAATTTATGATTCAGCCAAATGCTTTAAGGGGAACTCAGTCTGAAAACTAGCTTTTACCACTGTAGTTTGCTGCTAGTGCCAAAGAAACTCAGTCCTTCTCAGTTGATGATTTGCAGTGAATTGTTTAACTTGTTCCAGCAGACAGCCAGTGGCACTTCTGCACTAAGACCCCAGCTAATTCAGCCTGCATCTTTTCTGTAGACAAGAAATGAATGCTGAATCAGCATATGCACCCTAATAACTATTTTTCTCCCTGTACATTCATGCATATGTGGACTCCAGTGTGGCCAGTGTGAACTGAAGTGGTATCTCTGGGTGGAAGGAGAAGGAGAAGGAAGTACTGAAGGCATCAGTACATTCCTTCAGCATCAGTCCATTCTCCCAGTTTTGGTGTGTTTTACAGTCACAGCACAAGTGCTCACGTAAGAGCCATCCATCTTGAGACAGGAAGGAACCACTTCCTCACAGGGGAGTAATGTAGACCTGCACCTGGAGGGGCCTCTGGAAATCAGATCTGTTCCCTGCAGTTGCCAAAGCATTGACTGTGAGTTAGACAAACAGTGGCAAAATGTGCTTGAGCAAGGCCAGATTGACTCAGGTAGAATGGTGTTTGCTCTTTGCTTAAAATGGCAGCACCAAGTACTTGGTGTGGGAGAATAAGAGGAATATGACACAGGTCTTCATGGTGAATCCATCTGTTAGCCACCCAGTACAGCTTGTCTATGTGATGGTGTCTTCTCAGCATTGAACTGCCTGCTCATTTTTGTCTTCCTTCACTCCAAAAGAGACACTGTGTGGGGGGCTCCATTGAACATAATTCAGTTCAAAGGGTTTGGGGTACATTATAAGCAAGGCATAATACGATACGATCTCTGTAGTCACTACTGACTGTGCAGCAGATAATTGTTTGGAAACTACAAAGCCTGCTGTTCAATGCTAGGATAATACATTTGGTTTTGCTGTTATAGCTGTTTAATACACTTTTCCAGTGTTTTGCTTCATTGGAGATTGAAATCTTAATGTGCTTATTAAAAAAAAAGAAGCAGTATTTGGATATACATGCTGCATCATCATTTTCTGCTGTCTTTTCTATCTGTAATTGTATCTCTAGACATAGCAAGCAAAAAATCTAACATTTGGAAAATGCCACTTTATACTTTTGGAATAATTATAATACTTCTAAGACACTGTAGATTGCAAAAGTGTCTGGATACAGTTGCAAGGACCGATTTGATTCCCTTCTTTTTTAATTAGGGCTCAAGGCCTTCTTATTAAAGGTATAATTATTGAACCATTACCTTATCACTGAAATGGCAGTGTTTTCTCTAATTCCCTAGAGGAGCTATGGATGGAGGGTGCTTTGTTGGAGCAGGCTTACTGTGAAATGCCACAGGTGTCAGTGCTGCTTTACACACAGGGCTAACACAGGGTTAAAACTAACGCAACAAGGGAACTTCAAAGTATGTTTAGCTGAAGATCTTACACTGGAAAATAGTTTCTGTTACATGTGGCTGAGCACAAATGTCATCCAGATCTACGTGTATAGTAATTTTGTTAGAAAATTGATAACTGCAGGCTTTTTTTTCCACTCAGATTTCATGGACTACTATAGTTCTGTCTGAAATACTGTGAATTCTGTTTGCAGTTATAAATGGCTTTATAAAAGCGATCCTATTTGAAGTCTTACTTTGAAAGGGGCTATTATATCATCACCCTACTAATTAGCATTGAACATATGTATTTTTTGCCATTCCTTTCCAGAACAAAAGAGATGAACATCTTTTGAAAAAACGAAACGTTCCCCAAGAAGAAAGTTTAGAAGATTCTGATGTTGATGCTGACTTCAAAGCAGTAAGTCCCTCAATTCTGGAAATTACTTCTATAGCTTTTGTATCTCAAAACAAAGTATTCTGTTTTTACTTTAACAGTGGAAGCCTTATAGTTATTTGAAAGCAAAATTGTGAACTGATGCACTGTTTAAATTAGTTTGCATAATATGTTGAAAAAGAAGGAAGCAAAAGCAACGAACTGACTAAAACATTTTGTTTTTCTTTTCAAGCAAAATGTAACACTAGAAGCTATACTGCAGGTACGTTACATTCATTTCTTCATTTATTTGTTTATAATTAGTAGTCTTTGTTCTGTGCATTTTTAGTTTTTATTGTTATTATTTCAGAACGCCACAAGTGACAACCCAGTGATCCAGCTGAGTGCTGTTCAAGCTGCAAGGTAAAAATGAATGAACAGAGGGACAGAAGTGAACTCTACACATTTTTCGTGATGAAAGTTACTTATTTTACTTCTACATTTAATTTCACAGAAAACTCCTATCCAGTGACAGAAATCCACCTATTGATGACTTAATAAAATCTGGAATTTTGCCAATTCTGGTAAAATGCTTAGAAAGGGATGATAAGTAAGTATGCTTTTACAAATGTTCATTTTCACTGAAAAACTCTATCCAGATGACTGTTCAAATGGAACTGAGGATCCATAGCATGTTACTGTCTAACACAATGGATCAGATTCCATGACAGCAGAATATAAATTCTCCAGGAATATTGTTTATTCTGCTGCTGAAACATCATTTTCTTTTTTAGTGCTTTCTTGAGTATATCTAGTTAATGGAGTATACCTTACTACATTTCTCATTGGTTCTGAATATTTCAGACTTTCCTGTTAACTATTCTTAAGAAACCTGCCTCAGACTTAGTGTGGGCATTTGAGAAGGCAGAGTGTATGCATGGTTGTAAACAAGGCTGTTCTGTATGCGGGAATACAGTTGTCATGTGTTTCATTGGGGTTATTAGCTCAAGTTTGTGGCTTCTTTCATTCCTATTGCATGGTGGGCTTTCTGGCTTTGTGCTGCTCCCTCGTGTGATAGAACACCACAGTAAGCACGCTTTGTGTTCTGATTCTTTGATGGAAAACAAGAGCTTCAGTAGAGGAGATACAACATGTTGTGCATGTTGTTGCACGACTTTTGTGTCACGTTATGAAAAGTGCTGTTTTCCACAATCTGTGAGCCTCTTATTGAGACAGATGGGGATTAACATGTTTGAGGTAAATGTTTTAGGCTATCTTTGGTCTCAGTGAGCCATAAATGTATTTACAGGATTTCCATTTTCAAAGTCATTTCTGCAACCACAAGGGCTAGGAGCTTCAAAAAGTGCAGACTGACATTTTGGGTGGAATGGGATGGCTGCAAAAAGATATGAAGTGTGACTAGCTTTGTTTCTAGTTTGTTTAGCAGAAGAGTTACTAAGAAAACAGCAGGCAGTGATGTCCAAATCAGGTAGTGTTTTGAAAGCAGGCAAATGCCTGTCTGCTCTAGTATTAGATGGTTCAGTGCTGTGAAAATTTAAGTTGAATTTTATTTAGGCTGTTTGTATGATTTATTTTTGTAAACATTTAAAAGGCCTTTTCAAACTGAACTCTGCACTTTCTTAGGCAGTCCTTTTAATTGTGATTGCTATGTAATGTTCAGTAAAGGTAAATTTTGCTAAGAGTTTGTGTAGCAGATAATTAAAGCTGTTGTTTGTGTTATAACTGAAAGTTTATCCCAAGGGCACTGAGATCACAGGGGGAAGAAAAATTCATTGTGTGCATGAGGACCAATTCAGAACTAGAATTTTAAAGCATTTGATCCTAGAATGTAAGGTTTATAGATAGCTGCTTACACGTGCTGTTTGTTTTTACAAATTTTTATATACACATCTTGTACCTCCATCTCTGTTTCTTTTCCAATCCTATCCCCAATAACTCCTTAAAATGCTTTGGAAACCAATGCATGAGAAAAGCTTAAGGGAAGCAGGTGATATGGCTGTATGTAAAACATTGAGGAAGATGTCAAAAATGAAAAGTAGTCACCTAATAGCAAATATTCTGTGCTACTCCTGGGTCCTGGACACCTTGCTATTATTGTAATCACAGTAAGCCTTGAACTCTTTTTTAGTTTTACAACTCTTAACCTCTAAAATTTGCATGAACAAGTTTTCATGCTTTGTTTTATTAGACTGCTGTTGGCACAGACAACAATTGATGGATAAAATCTTAGTTTGGACATTCCCCTCACTTTTACTGTATTTGTAACTCTTCTTATCTGCATTTAGTAAGTTAGGATCAGTACGGGTATGATGCTGTCCTTTGGTACTGATTGGTGTGCCTGTCTGTGATAGAGTAGACAGAAGTCTTTGTCCTTGTGTATCTGCTTGCATTTGATCTTGGATGTGATGTTAGAAAGGTTTTGTCAGCATGGTTAATTTGCTAAGAACTCCTAATGGCAGTAAGGCAGTTGCATTTTCTTTACTAAACATGTATGGCCTTTGGGTGGGTTGGGTGTGAAGAGGTGTCTGTTGCTTATTAGAGGGGCATAATCAAATTCTATGATGGTGTGTACCAGAAGTCTTTCATACTGGAGGCAATTTGTTGATTAGAATAGCAGTCAGCTTCACTAGTTGGTGGATATTTCAACAGGTGTTACTGATTTCCTTTCTTTTTATTTTTTACTCACATGAGGTCAGAATGATAAGCAGTTTAAAAAGCTCGTAGAATGTAAAATTTGTGTTTTTCTTTCCTCTCTGTTCTTCTGAAATGTCCAAGCTTAGAGTTTTTCTAAAAAAATCTTGTAGCCAGGTGGCACTGCTTAAATGTAGCATCATGGAGTGCATATAGTGAATAGTGCTGAAGTGAACCATAAAATAATCTGAAGATCATTTCAAGTTACCACTGTAAAATTATTTCATTACAGTCCTTCATTACAATTTGAAGCTGCATGGGCATTGACTAACATAGCATCAGGCACTTCTGCACAAACTCAAGCTGTTGTACAGTCTAGTAAGTATTACAATTTGCTTATTGGGGATGTGGGTGTTTGGGGTTAAAGGGAAAAGGGATTTTTGGATAACAAATACCATTCGCTATCAGAACAGTTAACACAATAAAAACATATGCCTGTCCTCTTTCTCAGAACTTTCTACTTTTACTCTTAAAGGTTAATTTATTTGTCAGTAATGATTAATATTAAGGAGCCCAGACCTGAATTTCCCTTAAAGAAGATAGAGAATGACAGATGATACGAGTGTGACAAAAATGTTAGTTCTTTCTAGTGTTGATTTTTGAATTCACGTACTGTTAATTCCCCTACAACTAAAACTTACATTAAAAAGTAATTCTTTTTACTTCAGTGGTGTGTTCATAAATCTTACTGAAGTTGTTAAATACGTGTAGTTATGTAAAATTGCCCATCTAAACACAGAGTTAAAATTACCTTCCTTTCCTTGACTGTGTGATTCGTCTCTCCTGTACGCGCTGTGTTTGTTGTGCTGGCTTTGGCTCCTAACCAGCCTGTGAGACTTCCATTACCAAGAGACAGGAAATTAAAGTTAGTTGAAGATAAATTATGTTTGCTGAGTTGAATCAAACTGTTCTTTTTCGTTGTTGTTGTTTATATATGTAGCTTTTGTGGATTGACACGGTTATCTTTAAGCAATCACTTCTATGCTAAACGCAATGTTTTGTCATTAAGTGGGAGGCTATGGCTGAGCAGTTACAGAGCAAATTGTCTAGACATATTGATATTCAGTGCTTTTATATGGGAAAATGATGACTTAGTTATTTGATTTTTTTTTTTAAAGTGAAAATTAAAATGAAAAAGTGCGCAGCACAGCAGAGTTGAAAGCATTGCTGTTGGGTGCACAAACGCTAGGAGTTCAGGGTGGATATGTCCCTCCAAAATCTGTTTAGATACACTTGAAAAGAAGCAAGCGAGATAAAATGACTGTAGAGAAGCAAAAAATTTCCTTAGTTTTGCTTCTGAAGAGAATATGGAAGTTTAGTCTGAAAGCCTAGCTGCCTCTTTCTGGCAGGTGACCAAGGGACTCTGAACTCTGTTTAGATAAAGGCTGGTTTGCAGGAATGAAGCGATAGACCCTTGCAGCTACAGAGGAAGCTGCTGCAGCCTAAACACAAAAGAAGGCCTCAGTAGTCGGGGACAGATGGCAGTTGGAGAGCCTAGCAAGAGAGGGAAGGTACTGTACACACAGAACAGATCTTGGCAGGAACCAATTTGGAGCAGAATTAATTTTTTCAAGAGCAGTGGATCAGATAGCCTGCAGCTCCCACTTTCTCAGACTTTGCTCCTGCTCAAGTACTGATATGAAATATTTCCATTTCTGCTTTAAAAGCAGGATTGCAGTCAAGTGTAAACTACATACCTGACCCTCCTCTCTAAAATATGTTGAATACATGTACAGCTGCAGTGTAATTTCAGTAGTCATAGAGAAAAGGAAGCTTGAATATTCCCCTTGAGCTAATGGAAGTGGGATGGTTGTGACAAGAAAAGTGAGTGTTCTAAACAGGGTTGTGCTGCTGTCCCTCCCAACTTGTAGAAAATTACTCCATTACTCATCCACGGCAGGGAAAGAATTTTACGTTCTCTTCATTCTTCATCCCTCTGCATTTTTTTCATGAAAATATATCAGGGATTTTTTTGGCTTGTTATCACATGTGAAATTATCACCAGGATATCGATTCACAGTTGCTCACAAACTGTGTTGTAGTTTTTTAAAATTCCGAAGCTATTTTGGTGCTTACAGCCTCTACAAGAAAAATATTTTTTCCTTCTACAGTATATAAATTGATCTATTTTACTTCACCAAGAAAGACTATAGGATGAGTATGATAATATGTAGAGTTTAAAAACTGCTATCAGGATTCCCATGTGAAAAAGAATATGAGTTGTCTGAGAGAAGATAGCTCACAGGAACAGCAGAGGGATGGTTTCTTAGCTCTTAAGTGTATTTAATGCAGCAGAGATTGAAATCAAAAATCAGTACCACTTCCTTAATCTGCTGTGTTGCTTCTGTTACATAAGAACAAATAAAAACTTGTCTTAGGACTGTATGGCAGATGGATGTAAATCTTCACTACACGTGGAAGCTAACTATAGCTGCTTCTTGGGAGGAAGCTATTTTCTTAAAACCAAGATTTGAAACACGTTTGCATGAGTAGGCATGTCATTCTGCTAGGTATGTATGGCCTTCTTGGATAACTCTAACATCTGAATTACCAGGAAATTAAACCTAGCGCCTACGTACTTGTGGCTCTTAGGTAGCACTTGGAGAAATGTGGGGAAATGTTGAAATGTGGACAGCGTTGTTGTTTAATTTGCTTGTTCTCAGGTCTGTATTTTCTGCCTCTGTAGAGTTTTATAGAAATGTTTAACAGATTCTGTATGCTCTTCATAACAGAAACATGTATGTTAATGTAAAGCATGGTAAAGATGTTGAATATGAATCAATTGAAGTATTTTTAATTATTTCAGTTATTCAGTTTTTCATTATTTCAGAAATATATTGCAGTGTTTGAGTTCCACTGAAAACAAATCCAATCTTTGCATTCCATAGATGCAGTACCCCTCTTTTTGAGACTACTCCATTCTCCGCACCAGAACGTTTGTGAGCAGGCTGTCTGGGCTCTGGGAAATATTATCGGTAACTGTTGTTCTTACAATGATTTGCATTCAGGGAGCGTTTCATTTTAGAATTTGACTTTTGAACATTGACATTATCATATGAGACTATGTTTCCTCTAAGTTCTGTGGCTTAATATATTTTTTCATGCGGCCAGAATTACGTACGTACGTACTGTTGTTTTCTAAAGAATAGTGTCACTTGCTGCACAAAATGTTAACAGGATAAATTTTGTGTCTCTTAAGATATACATACATATCCGTATGTATGTATATTTAATTGAACACGAACTTTTAGTAGTAAACTATTGGTGAGGAAACATAGAATTTCAGAATCCCAACATGCCATTGCATACATTTCAAGATTTTCCATTTTTAATGTAATTTCTTTTACAACAATTTTCATTTCTGTAGGTGATGGTCCTCAGTGTAGAGATTATGTCATATCACTGGGAGTTGTCAAACCTCTTCTGTCCTTCATCAATCCCTCCATTCCCATCACCTTCCTTCGGAACGTCACATGGGTCATTGTAAATCTCTGCAGGAATAAGGACCCCCCACCGCCTATGGAGACAGTTCAGGAGGTAAATACAGAATTATGAGACAGATACTTTTTTATACTCTGCACTAGAGGCCAGATATTTCACATTGTCATACTGTGAATTTATGCATGTCTTTTGCCACTGTCTTCTGCCACTTACTAGTTGTTAAGTAATTTGACTGAGATAGCAGCAAAGCTACTCAGCATCTGAAGATGACAGATAATACTGATTACTTATATATTAAAATGGACACAAGAAAAATTAACATTCTGTAAGGTGTTAACGTACTTTTTATTTAAAAAGACTGTAAACATGATTCTGTATATATTCTATAAACAGAGTCATTGGAGTGCAATTATTTTCAGTAAGAGAAAATATATATAGATTAGTGAATATAGTTTAGTTTGTGTTTTGACTAGCTGTGAACATGCAGTTGTTGTCAAGTCCCCACGTGAGAACCTCTGAAAATCCCTTTACACTGATGATCAGGGAGATGTCTATAATGTTTGCTTGTTTTCCTCCATAATATAGTCTACTCTTTGTGTCTTTGAAATATATTACTGTCTTATATTTTTACAAATTTTAAATAAGGTACATATTTTTATACATACTTCAGGGGAATGAACAGTTACAGGGAAGTATGTGAACATAATATACTAGTTCAATATCAAGCTAAGTATTATGTTGACACTATTTGGATTCATGTTTGCACAGCAAATTTTATTCTGTTGTAATGACTGATGAACTTCTTTTCAGATTTTGCCAGCATTGTGTGTTCTCATTTACCATACAGATATAAACGTAAGTAATTTCTGAAGTTTTAGACATTTTGCTTTTTTGTGTTGTTTAAAGAGAAAATACTTTGAGATTGTGTTTGTGCCAAACTTGGTTTTGTTTGTTAACTTACATATAATTAAGCAGTAAATGTACAATTAAGTACTAAAACTAATGTAATCATGGTCATTCAGAGCAGGAAAAAGGAAGTACAAGCACCGTTTCTGAAATATATTTTCTAAAAGTCTTATTTTTACACTAGAAACTACATTTTTCAAAAATCCTATTTTACAGAGCTCTGCTCTAGAAGTTTAGAATTTTGAGATTAACTCTTGGCCTTAATTTAATTTAATTTAATTTAATTTTGTCTCAGTTTGTTACTTTGTGTAGATAATAAGGTTTGAATTTTGGTTAGCCCTTTGTGTGGCAAGAAATCTGGCCTTTCTGATCCTTCTGGGTCTCTTCCAACTCAGGCTATTTAATAATTCTCTGCTATGAAATGTGTAATTCTGTGTATCAGTCCAGTGAAATACTGTGATCATATGGTTAAATCTAACTTCTGTAACCTGTTGGATGCCTGAATTTGCAACCTGTTTGACTAAGGAAATCACACAGGAAAATATATTTAAATATATTAATATTTAACTATTAAAGGTATTTAAATATTTATGCTCCTGATCCATGTTTTTTGCATACATTTTCAAAGTCCTAGAGAGTGGTCTTACTTCTGAGGTGTTACATTGTGACTTCAGGAACCAAGATTTATACACATAAGGGTTACTGAGCTGCTTTTCAGCTCTTCTTCCTATCAGGACTTTGTAATGTCTTGAATTGTTGCTCCCTGTAGTAGCACCACAACTTAAGGAAGCAGAAATTGAGCACCTTGGTGGGTCTGGGGATAGGGCATAAGGTTGGTGGAAATGTCTTAGGTTATTTCTTTGATGATGTAGTGGTGTTTCTGTTGCTCTTTTAATGGCGTAGTCATTCCACAAATATTTGCAAACAGGGGATTTTGCAAATTTGGGATTTTGCCAGGGCTATCCCAGTGTAATGTGAGTGGGAGACAGCACATGGTGACTTTACAGTTCATAATTTGGACAAACCAAAATGGAGAGTCATAGCAAAACCAAAAATACTTCTAACCTATAGGCTTTGGTTGGCTTTGTTTTGTTTTGTTTTCTGGCAAATTTGAAAGCTATTTGTAAGGAATGATTTTGTGAGAGTTTTCTTAAATTAGATGTGAGACTACGTGGTGCCAGGTTTTGACTGATCTCAGTGAGGGTGCCCATCTTTTTCATCCCAAGAATCCGGTGCTGTTTGGAGGTACCAGTGTGATCCCAGCCTCCCAGTACTGGAGCAGCAAACCTATCTGTGGTGATGAGTTAGTGATGCAGGTAGATCAGCAGGCAGTCCTGTGAGCACCTCTGGTGGCTGCTGCTCTCATCATCATCAGAACTGTGGGAAAGGAAACTGGTGAAGCTCCATCTCTCACTGCTTCTGCTGTGATGCTGGCTCCACTGCAGCACGTTCTGCTGTCCCTGTGGCAGCAGCAGGTGAGGGCAGCAGCAGGCTGCATCAGGAGAGCAGTAGGTACATGCTGTCTGATCTCTGGAGATGGATGGAAACAGCCTATGGGGCAGGTCTCTCACACACCTTCAGTGCAATATATTTAGCTTTCTTAATAGCTGGAAATTTTGAATGGCTATTTTGAAAAGTAGAGTGCATATGCCTTTACTTAAATAGCAGATGAGGTTTCTTTCAGTTAAGCTGTCAGAGAGAGGAAGCTGGCTCACAGATCTCCATTTGGGTATGCTGCGTTGAGCCATTCTCATCTGAAGCTTCCTTAAATCTCAGTGAGCTGAGCTGCTAACTCCTTTTTGCTCACCATGAGACACTCTGGGCACAGATTGTGCCTACAAAGCCTTCAAACACTGCTTCAGACCATCTAACCTCAGAACATAAATAAGATGCTTGGATTTAGAGCCTATTGCTCTAACCTCTTTCTAGTAAATCAGATGAGAGCCCCATTCAAAAGGTCGTTTAGTTCACAGAATAGAACAGGTGTCTTAGCACACAGAATATGAACTGGGAGAGTAGGCTTATGGTGCTCTTAATTTAGACACTTGACTTAGGTGCAATGAGTTCAGGCTTTAGTCTTCCTTAAAATTCCAGAGGGTAACTGCTTTGCTTTGGTTAGCTTTGGAAAGTGACTTAGAAATGCCCTCAGGGGCATCCAGGCTTCTCTTCCTATAGTTCTTAACATCACCTCCAGGTAATGGGATATTACCTCTTTTTCTGCTAGCTTTGTTTCTGCTTCAAATCCTACCTTTAAAATAACTAATTTTTGCACCTCTCCTTTTTTTGGAGAGCTCTCAAATCATCCATATCAAATCACCAGTGACTTCATTGTTATTTTCTTTAAGTGTGTCCTGTGTGATAGTTGTTACTTTGTGTTTATTCCCTTCTCTTGAACAGTTGCCACCTTAAAATAAGTGCTCGTCTTTTAGCTGGTGTAAGAAAGTTCTTTCCTTTGCTGTAGATCTAAATCTCAATATGAAGGATAGTTTGCATAACTTCAGACTGCACTGTGGATCAAAGGCATTAAAGGGTAGCTAGATGGCTTAAAGACTAAGGACATTTAGTTGTTGTGTATTCAGAAGATAGTACATCTAACAGATGAGAGCAGGGCTGAGAAGTTGGGTCACTATTGTCTTCAGAAAGTTACTAGCTCAGTTACTTAACTGAGCCATTCATCTGTCTCCAAAATGCAAATCAAAGCCAACAATTTACCTTTGTCAGGTGGTGTGTGCTGTAACTTTATGTACCAAAATGTGTCAGTTAAAAGGATGTATAACTTATTATCACTGAACAGATGGCTCCAGTTTTCATTGCTGTACGTAATAATCCAACATTTAATGCATCAGGTTGCATTTGAGTTTTTCCTGTAACTAAACTGAATGCTTTTTTTTTTTTTAATTTACCCAGACGTTGAAAATAATCACTAAATTAAGATTCAGTGATACGAAGTTTGCTATTCAGTGTTTAAATTATGTTATGTTCTTTCCAACTTCCAGATTCTTGTGGACACCGTTTGGGCTTTGTCCTACTTAACAGACGGCGGCAACGAGCAGATACAGATGGTGATTGATTCAGGAGTTGTACCTTTTCTAGTTCCCCTTCTGAGTCATCAGGAGGTCAAAGTTCAGGTACGTCTGCCTCAGTTTCCTTGCATAGTCCTTTGTAACCTGTTTGCTTTCAAATTGTGCCATGGAGTATTTATTACTGGGGCTCTGAGATGAGCACTGTAGCTACAGTTGTTGTGGATAAACTGAACAAAAAAGTTTCCTACACCAAGAAAAAACATCTAAAATTATATTGAAACTCTTTCTGAAGTTTTTTTTTATTTCAATAAAGCAGCAGGTTACAAATTTATAATGACAGTAGGTTTTACGTTTCTCAGATTGTGTGTACTCTTTTCTGGTTGCAGCATTTGAGTAACTCATGGAAATCAATTACAGTTTTGATACTCTTTGATTGTGAGTCTTTTTAGTAAATCTCTAATTTTCTACAAAAGGTAGGTTAACTGACTTTCAACACAAAGGGAAGCTTTAAGTTAGTTAATGTGTGCTTGATTTTTATAAATTAACCACTGGAATGTGGAAGCTTCTGTGCATATCTTTGCATTTGCCATATTTGTTTAGTTTGGACTTTGGATGAAGGTTGCCTGGCTCAAAATCTGTCAAACCAGTTCACTTGATGGAAAAGAGTCTCACCAGTTTTCTATCACATATGAAACATTTATTAATACATAAGGATATAATGTGCATTTTTGAAAGTCAACTGAGAGTAAATAAGAATATCAGTAGTCTTTTTTTCTTTATTATTCTGCAATGGAGACGTGAATTAAAAAGCTTGCAACATTTACAGCCATAGTCAAGGCCTAGATATGTTTATTGTAACTCAGATCAGATACATGACAAATTATTTCTTTTGTTATTCTAATCTCTTTCTACTTTCTAATCTTTTGGAGTCGATCTGCAGTGTGCTTTTCAGTAAAATACTGCCCTGTGTGTTTCTGTTTTGATGAAACAGTGCCTGTTCTAGAGTGCAGCTCAGAAGCTTTAGTGCTAAACTCTCTTCTGCAGTGTTTTTGTAGATACATTCTAAAGTGATCTTTATTTTAACATAAGTAACAGCAACGTTTTTAACATGCAATTTTTTTTCCCTTCCCACCTTGGACGTTCAGACAGCAGCACTGAGAGCAGTAGGCAACATAGTAACTGGTACTGATGAACAGACACAAGTTGTTCTCAACTGTGATGTTTTGTCTTACTTCCCAAACCTCCTGACGCATCCAAAAGAGAAGATAAACAAGGTATGTTATCATCTGCTTCTTCTTTGCTTAATCTTGTTGTTTAAAAAATAGAACAGTGATCTGTAACTTTTTACAGAAGAATTTCTCAGAGCTGTTACCTCTGGGATGTCAGCAATTCTGCATGAAGACACCGCCTTTCAGTCTGGTGCATAATTAGGGCAGAAGTCAAACAGGCATATTGAGGGTCTGTTTGTTAGTGTTGATGTATCAGTGCTGATTTTTGGGAGGACTGATTTTTTGCTTTAACATATGAATTTTTTGTTGTTGTTTCCAAAGTGAGTAAGTGGTGAACTTACACTACAGGTTTTTGTATCTGAGGATTGTTGCTTGTTGTTGAATTCAGTGAGATGGGTAAGGATGGCCCAGTTTTTCCTCCCCAAAATTAAAGGGGTTTAATAAAACTACACTTCTCTTCACAGTGGAGTTTTTTCTCTTCTGTTGTCCATCTTCATTTTCAAGGGAGTACAGAATACCACCGTCCTTTTTTGAAAACTATCCCTCCTTCCTTTTGGCAGAAGGAACTTTGCTGTTGCAAAGGATTAGATGGAATAGGGAGAATTAGATGAAAGGAAGTGATAAGTGCCCTCCTTTCCAGAGCTGCATTTGATGATGTTTGCTTTATTTTTGGTAATCATCATGCCATCTTTCCCTGCAGAGATGGGGCTGGCTGGGAAGGAGGCTTTTTCTCTTTTCTCTGCCCCTTTGTTTAGCTTAGGAGATTTCCCCATTTTAGCCATATCACAGGGGGGATTCTGTTTCTTCAGGCCTTGGAAAATGCCAGTAGTGCTGAAGAAGTTAATCTTCAGCAGTTCAGACTGCTGTGATCTCTTTCTGTCTCCCCTTCTTGCACTCAGGAAAGGATGAGAAAGGGCTCTTTTTGAAAACCAAGAAGGAGCTATTTTGCTTTAAGAGGAGTCTATGAATACCTTTAAGTTTTTTGTTTTAATAATTTGAGGAACAACTACAAATAAAAGTCAAATGTACCTCCCTAAAAAATGGAACCCATTACGTTTTGTAGTATTTTATGATTGGTTTGATGGCTTATTAAAATCAGGTTATTTTTAGTTCAGGTTGAGAGGTTTTTTCGGATATTCTTGATTGGCTTGGCAAAATAACCTGTTGTAACCAGGAATTTTTTATTGCCAGTAGATGTTAGCTATGCTGATGAACCACCTGAATGAGGTAATTGCTGAGTAAGGTCTCAGAGCTGGAAGTCGTGTCTAATTATTAATGGGAAAACTCAAATGAGCATTGTAAGCTCTACTTCATATTTAAGGGAGTAAACAGTAGATGGAAGCACAAAAGGCTACTACTGAGCTGTCAGGTCCAAATTTACAGGAGTTGTTGTTTTTTTTTTATTTGGGGTTTCTTTGCAAAACTTATTTAGAGTTCAAAACGTGTCTATGGCTGTAGCAGTGCAAAGTGGATATAAGGTTTAAGTTGGTATTGCTGCCAGCGTGTGAAGTAAGTAATACTTTGACCCAGTGAATTAATCATATCAATTTTGTAGTGATCTTCTGTGTGTTTGGCTTTCACAGTGCAATAAAAGCTTGTGTGTTGGAAGTGCTACTGGGCAGGAAACCTGGAGGCTCTATTTAGAGGTGGTTGTGGTATGAGTGAGGTTTTGATGGTTTTGAAGTTTGATTATTTTTTTTTTCATCTGTTGACTGTTTTCAAAAATGTGTTTTGCTTTTTTATTTTGTTCAATTTTAGGAAGCAGTTTGGTTCCTTTCCAATATCACAGCAGGAAACCAGCAACAAGTTCAGGCTGTAATAGATGCTGGGCTAATCCCTATGATCATACACCAGCTGGCTAAGGTCAGTCAAGCTGTCAGCTATGCAAGTTGTCATCCTCTTTTTATAAACCTGACATGAGGAGTGTGTGATTTTTAATAATAAGCCTGACAGATGTTTCCATGTGGATTTTAATGAGCTATTAATTTTACTCTTCAGGGTGACTTTGGAACACAGAAGGAAGCTGCTTGGGCAATTAGCAATTTGACAATAAGTGGGAGAAAAGATCAGGTATGTATAGTAGGATTTCAGGTTGTCACTTAAATATTGCACGTGCAGCCATTTCTAAGAAGCAAAATGTTCAAAGTACTTTTTTTTTTTTCCATTATTTAGGTTGAATATCTTGTACAGCAAAATGTAATCCCACCATTCTGCAATCTACTCTCAGTAAAGGATTCTCAAGTGGTACAGGTGGTGCTGGATGGTCTGAAAAACATCCTGATAATGGCTGGTGATGAGGCTAGCACAATAGCTGAAATTATAGAAGAGTGTGGAGGTACGTGCTTACTATGCTTTAAAAAAAAAAAAAAATTACTGAGTTCTGTTCTGTCTTCTATTTGCTGCTGTCAGATGTTTAGTACAGAATTTTTGGGACTGTGGGCCATTTGAATAAGCAGGTGACACTCTATCCTCTTTATCTTGGTTTAGGGACAGTCATGTTAGAAACAATTGGTGGAGGAGCTTTCTGTAGCTAGGTGTTCCTAGACTTATATGAGAATTGTACTTCATTTCATTTTGTTATTGAATATACTTAGTTTTGCAGTAGAACACACAATTCTTGTGTGTTCAGTGCTTTGGTAGTAGATGGCTGAATAGGGACCTGCTGGTCAAAGTGAGAGATAAAAGAAAGTGCACAGGCAGTGTAAGTAGGGGTGTGTGGCCTTGAAAGAATACAGGGATTCCATCTGATAGAAATGTGATAAAGAAAGCCAAGGCACACATAGAACTGAAACTGGCAAGCAACATGAAAAATAACAAGAAGAGTTTCTACATTTACATTGGTCAAAAGAGAAAGGCCAAAGAAAGTATTGCCCCTCTGATAAATGAGAAGAGAGAGCTGGCAACAGCAGACATGGAGACTGCTGAGGTACTCAATGAGTCTTCACTCTCAGTCAGGCTTCCTACGTCTCTTGTGTCCCTGAACCTCTGGGCAGGTTGGGGGAGCAAAATACTTCCCAGTCTAAGAACAGAGCAAGTTGGAGACTGCCTCATAAGGCTGAGTATGTACAAGTCTGTGGGGTTCACATGCATGCTATTGTCCTGAAAGAGCTGTCTGTAGTTGCCAAGCCTCTCTCTATCATATCTGAAAATTCCCTCCCTTGTCAGAGGAGGTCCCCCGTAAGGAAACATAACATTCCCCCAGAAGGGGAAACGTAATTTCTGTTTTTTAAGAAAGGTAGAAAGGAATATCCAGGACACTACAGGTTGTTGAACCTCTTGTCTGTACCTGGGAAGATCATGGAACAGATCCTGCTGGATGTTATGTTGAAGCACATGCGAGATGTGGAGGTGACCCAAGACAGCCAGCACAGCTTCACCAAGGGCAGATGATGCCTGATCTGTCTGGTGGCCTTCTATGATGGAGTGGTGACATCAGTGGACAAAGGAAACACAACTGATGTTGTCTGTTTGGACTTTGATGTGGTCTCGCACTACATCCTTGTCTCTAAGTTGGAGAGAGATGGATTTGAGTGATGGAATATTTGATGGATAAGGGTTTGGTTGGATGGTTGCAGCCAGAGAGTTGTGGTCAGCGGTTCTGTGTACAAGTGAAGATGGGTGACAAGTGCTGTGTCCGTGGGTCTGTCTTGGGACCAGAGCTCTTCAGCATCTTTATCAGTGACATAGAAATGTGCCTCTAAGCAAGTTTGCTGATGACACCAAGCTGAGTGGTGCGGTTGACACAGTACAAGGGAGGGATGTGATTCAAAGGGACTTGGACAGGCTTGAGAAGTGGGCCCATGTGAACTTAATGAGGTTTGACAAGGCCCAGTGCAACGTGTTGCACTTTAATCAGGGAAATCCCAGATAGGTGTACAGAGTGGGAGAAGAACTCCTTGAGGACAGCCCAGCTGGACATGAGTCAGTGATGCGTGCTCACAGCCTGGAAGCCCAGCAGTATCCTGGGCTGCATCAGCAGAGGGGTGACCAGCAGGGAGGGGGAGGGCATTGTCCTCCTCTGCTCTCGTGGGGCTCCTTCTGGAGTACTGCATCCAGGTCTGGGGCTCTCAGCACAAGAAAGATGTTGGAGTGTGTCCAGAGAAAGGTGACGAGGGTGACCAGAGGACTGGAGCGCATTTCCAATGATGAGAGGTTGAGGTTGGGCTTGTTCAGCCTGGAGAAGAGAAGGCTCTGGGGACACCTCATTGCAGCTTTCCAGTATTTAAGGGAGCTTGCAAGCAGGAGCTGGACTGACTATTTACACAGTCCGACAGTGACAGGACAAAGGGGAATGTCTTTAAACTTTTTAAAAGAGGGGAGATTTAGGTTAGATGGTAGGCAGAAATTCTTTATTCAGAGATGGTGAGGCACTGGCAAAGCTACCCAGAGAAGCTGTGGATGCCTCGTTCCTGGAGGCACTTGAGGCCTGGTTGGCTGGAGCTCTGGGCAGCCTGAGCTGCTGAGTGGCAGCCCTGTCTATGACAGGGAATTGAACTAGATGGTCTGTAAAGTCCATTCCAACCCAAACTGTTCTGTGATTCCATGATAATAATTTCATTAAGGCTAATGCAGAACGAGGAATCAGGCTTTGGGATATTCCAACCTTAGTTTTAATTGATATAGTATAGTAAGGTAGCGCTGAATGTATGTTTGAGAACTTGATGTATTGGAAGTTTTTCTCTTGTGTATAACACATCCAGTTTGAAAAGGAGACTAGGATTTTAATCTGATTTTAGGATGAGATTTTGTTACCTTGGTTAAATAAAGCCACTTCCTTTGCTTATGTGCAAAATCATGAATCATCGAATGGCCTGGGTTGAAAAGGACCCCCCTGCTATGTGCAGGGTCGCCGAGCACTAGACCAGGCTGCCCAGAGCTACATCCAGCCTGGCCTTGAATGCATCCAGGCATGAAACAAAAGCTATACACTAGGCAACAGTAGTTTTAAAAACAATAATAAGATTTTGAAACAACCAGAAGTACAGCGGGTTTTATCTAAAAAGAGAGACAATTCTCTTATCCTGTGTTCTAGTGTGTTTCTGTAGTAATGTTTCATGAGTTTTCTTGGTTAGGTCTGTTGTCTAAAGTAGTCAATAATTCACTCCAATTTAAATTTAAAATTCTTCTCAATTTTCTTTTATCCAGGGTTAGAGAAAATTGAAGCCTTGCAACAACATGAGAACGAAGACATTTATAAACTAGCGTTTGAAATCATAGATCAATATTTCTCTGGTGATGATGTAAGTATGCTAAAGTTGGAAAAGTGTATGTGCTGTGCTGTTAGTGTTACGTTAGTAAGTGCATTGTCCTTGGTGATCTGTTCCAGTTGTTGTGAACATAGCCTGTCTGGGAGGTCAAGCTTCCTGCTCCCTTTTCAGTGCTCCTTCCCTGAATTGAAAGTCTTTGAAGAATTTCTCAATTCCAGGAATTTTCTTCAGCAGTATTAAGATGACTGATCTCATTTTGTGTACATGCATTGACACAGACCCAATGTTCGTTGCACTGACATATACATGAATATGTAATTACTTAAGATTAGAATCTGAACAGTTCTCTGGCTCTTTTTTTTTTTTTTTTTTTACTTCCTCATACACCAGTCTTAGGAGTTGAGGAGTGGATCCTTATTTCAGATAGATTACTGTATTTCAGCTCTGTAATTGCTCAGTGTGGAATTTACATTGAAGGGAATGAAAATGGCAAACTTTCTGCAGCTGATTGATGTAGACCACCTGATATTTTCTTGCATCCCAGTATTTTGACCCAGTTCCCTATGCTTGTAATGATTCTGTGGACAGTGTCTAATAACCTCCATAATGGTTCTGAGGTGTCTGTAGTTAACTGAAGACTACAGTTCTTAGTTGGTGTAGGGGGAAAAATAACTTTGTTGAGGTTAGTGCTGCTTTTTGTGCATTTACTTTTTACATAAACTGACGTAATTTAGTGTGTGCCTTATTGCCTGAATTTACTGCCTTTTTTGGGGATCAAGACTGGTAGCACATTTTCTGGAGTTTCTGAAACTTATTAGAAATGGTAGAAATTCTATAATTGGAAGACTACTGCAAACCAATGCAAAACCTGCCACTCTGGGAGCTCTGTGTTCTCATAAGATGTTGCTGGTCACTAGATGCTCACCCCTTTGTTGTTAATCACATCTGCTCCTTTGGTGAGTCCTGTAAAGTGCACAGGCAGTTGGCATGTACTTTGGAATCAGCACTGATAGCTTCCTATTGTGGTAAAGGTGTGTGAACTTAGGCAGCATTGCTTTCAGAAGGCAAGTGTTAATTTGTCAACTCACAAACGTCTGCAAGCAATTCTGAGACTAGATTCAGTCTTTGTAGTGGTGTGCCCTAGTCCTCCTCCTTAGAGTTGCTGCTGTCCCCAAAAGCCTTAGTCTCTCTTTCCAGGTGTTAAGTCACCCAAAGTAAAGAGAAATGTCTTAAGGTGAGTCAGTTCTGCTCTACTCCAGTGCCAGACCTCCAGAACATATTTAGACCTCCCCACCAGAAGGGCTTTTACATGCTTGTGGACAGCACACAGTGTGAACCAAGGCATGTGGTTGCTACAACCAAATTAATGCTATTGCAATAGTACTTAGATAAATAGATGAACATTTGTGAATCTCTTTTATGAGTACCAAATTGTGCTGGGAATGGGCGTTTAATAGATTTTTGTTGTTTTGTTTAATAGATCGATGAGGATCCCAGTCTCATTCCTGAAGCCACTCAAGGAGGTACTTACAATTTTGACCCAACAGCCAACCTTCAAACAAAAGAATTTAATTTTTAAGTTCAAAAAAGTGCAGCTTCTCTGTCCCACACCAGTATGAAGCACCACCAGATGGCTACCAAGTGAAGAAACAAAAGGCTCCAAGACACACATGCCTCTTCGTTTTGATGCTTCTAAAGCAAGCCATGTATCGGTCACTTTGCAGTTGCCAAACGTCACTATCACATGGACTGTAAATGCATATGCATGATCTCTTAAACTGTTTCAGAATTCTTTTTAACGGTCCCAACTACCTTTTTTTGCCTTTTTCCTGGTGCCACATGCTGACAACCGCAATCTGCAGTTCTGTTAAGAAAATTCCATAGTGGTGGCACATTGGCTTTCCACGGAAAAGTAGCTTCTTTGGAAAATGGTGCGCTGTGGATCAAGACACTTTGGTATGATGCGTACATTCTGGAAGACTACAGGGGCCCAGTCTGCTCTGAGCCTTCGTCATTGTCCTCCACAAACATATTTTCATATACTTTATGTGGAAGAATAGATTAAAAAACGCAAGCCAAATGATTTCATTGGTGAAACTGAAATAAAAGTAACTTAAGCAAAAAACAAACAACAACACAACACTTGGCAATTGATTAAACACTTAAGTTTAAAGCAAACAAAAAAACTACTTCATCTATCAGTAATTGATGTGTGTTCATTAACTGCCTCAGAAACCAGGGTTGGAGAATGAACTGTAGATTTGGACTGGTAAAGCTTTTGCCATTATACCTAATTTTTGAGAACAGCGAGCCCTATTTGACCACTCACTTCAGCCTGTGTGTTCCTGCTGTTTTGAAGTAATCAAATGCTGTGCATGGTATTTTACCTGAGCTACAACCTGTTACGGACTTGAACTTCTGGTTAAGCTGAAAGCAAGAATCCCAGACTGTAGAGAGAAAAAAAAAAAAAAAAATCTGTCCAAAAAAATGTATTAGTTAAAAAGAATCTTGCTTTCAACTTTCAGCAGTCAATATATTTTGTTTTAAATTGATAATTGGATATGGTTGATTCATATTGGGTTTAAACTGTGGAGCTTTCATGTTTACTGTAATTTAGTCTTAATCTATTTTTTACTTAGTAACCAGTGCTTTTGATGATGTGGTTGGCAACAAACCAGCAACTACTTAGAAGCGTCATAAAAGCTTCATTCTTGGAGTATTGGAAGAGTTACTCAGAAACCAGTCTCAAATCTTAGTCGCGCGATGAAACAAGATGCAAACTGGTTGACGTGTGAGGCTGTATGGAAGCTGCCGCCATTCAGCAACAACCTGATGTGCAGCGCACATTAAATAACTCTACGTAAGGTATGTGAGGTCACTGCTTTAGGAAAATGGCCCGACCCAGTCGTTTTCAAAGGGATCTTGGTATCACTGGGGTGAAGGATAATTCCGTAAGCTATCACACAAACTGGTTTTGTTGCTGTTGTTTACTGGGTGTAATTTCCCAATGCGTTGATGTGAAGGGATAGAAAAATCTAAACTAATTTAGTTATTGGATGTGGGTTGTATTTACTGTGATGAAGATAAGGACAGATGCCATCAGAGCTTTGTGGATCAGCTGTTTTTCCACTGATGAACAACGCATAGCAGGTGTGCATTCATTAAATATATATCTGCCAAGGTGGAGCCACTTTAAAGAGCGAGTTGTCTTGTATCCCAGCTGGATACAAGCGTATGTTTAAACTGCAAGATTTTTACTTGCTAGATAATCTGTTTTAATATAGTGGTTTGGCCTCTGATTATTTATAGGTTTTATAAATTTTAGAATCAATTTCTCTTTAAGGTGGCTCAGATTTTTCAACTCTCGTGCACATAAAATTGAGTTGAAGTTCATTGTGCCTTTTTTCTTTTCCCAGAAGTTGAGTTGAAGCTTCATATGGTAACTGCATCCTATTCACACACTATAGTCTAAAATCTTGAAAATGTGTGGTGTTCGCTAAGAAACTAAACAATAAAAAGTCAAAGTTAGGTAAGGTCACAAAGGTTTTGTGGAATTAGAGTTCCGGCAGGTGTTATTGTGAACAAATATTTCCCCTTCTAACTCCATTTAGTTTCCTTCTCTACCGTATAGACTGACGGTTACCCTGCTCAGCCTGTGCTCACTATTATCCTACCGATTACCTACAAATTGATATTAAAGTAATGGTTTTCCACGACTGTGAAGATCTGATCTTTTTCTTGCACTCAGTGCATTACGTTAAAAGTGAACATCGGCGAACTGAGTTGAGGCAAGACAAGGCGTGCGCTCAGTTCTTTCTGTTGTGACCTTATCAGCTTTTGATTGGGATTGCACCATCGCATAGTTAATAAAGGAAACAAAGTATATTGCTGCACTTTTACGTTTTCAGAACAGTGTTTAAAATTGCATTGTTTTTATTATTTTTTTAAACTATCAGTTAAAATAGACTAAAACGTTCTTTCAAAGAGGCATCTAAATGTGTTCCTAATTTTGTATATGGGCTTAGGTTTTGTAACCAATAAAAAGCTGCTATCAAATACTATAAAAAAAAAAATAATTCAAGAAGTTATTTTGAAAGTTACGGAACTGCTTAGTCTTTGCAGATCAACCTATAGGGGTTTTTGTCCTTGACTAAGTATTAGTTAGCAGAACTCCACCTCAACGTCTGCCGTATGTTACAAGAATGAATAAAGTAAGCTAACGCAGTGGTCTCTGGAACTTGGGTACTGTTCTGGTACGGGGTTTTATACTTTTCTGGAAGGTGTTTCCATAAACGTACAGGAGGCGATGGTAAGTGGGTTGCAGCTGATCTGCATAACTGGGAGACAGGGATTTCTGCTGACTGTGTGGTGTTCTGTAGCATTGAGGAGCTCACCATCCTGCTCCAACTCCAGAGGTGTCTCCAGCTTCCCAGCACCATTTGGGATCTGGTATTCTGCAGTGATTTGCCACTCGGGATGCCATGTGCCTCTCCTGCAGTCTGCCTTGGGAAGCCCTGGGCAGGGATCTGTAGCCAAGCTGCATGGCAGCAGTCCTCACCTCAAGGTACGAGTTCCCCTCTTGGGGTTCCCAAGTAGATTGGAGATGGGCTTTGCATTGTCCTGTAGTATCGTGGCCATCTGTTGGCTTTCACTGGGCCCTACCTGGCTGACTTGGGAGACACTGTGTTGGATAAATGAATGTGTTACTCTAGGAAACGTCTTAGAAGGAACAAAAACTAGAAGATATGTTGATGCTCCTCATACTTATTAAAAAAACAAGCATATCATAGAATGGCCTGGGTTGAAAAGGACCATAGTGATCATCTGGTTTCAACCCCCCTACTGTGTGCAGGGTCACCAACCACCAGACCAGGCTGCCCAGAGCCACATCCAGCCTGGCCTTGATTGCCACACTTCTGTTTTGTTTGCTTAATCTGCCCAACAGAGAAATAGGCATGAAGGTCCACTGCAGGTGTATTAAAAAAAAAAAAAAAAAAAGAAGAAGAAGAAGAAGAAAAAAAGAAAGAAACTTAAAATCTCTAAGTATGGCCTATTTTGTTATTCTGATCTGACATATAATGCCCTTTGGGTTTTGAGTGTTTCAAATGGGCCTCTTCTACCAAAGCAACCTGGTTGCCTTGTGTTTTTTCTGCTTTGTTGCATAAGAAATTGCTCTCTTTTGTGGGAAAATCATACTTCTATTCAAGCAGATGTAGGACAACAGATTATGGCAAGCCATTAGGAAGCACCTTTCAAGAAGAGGAGGGGAAAAAAAGCAGTGGAGAGCTTGGGCTGCAAGAGGCAGTGCTTTGTCACCATGGCCACCACCCATCTCACTGTCCCTGTGACCCAGGGACACAGGTGTGGAAAGTGAGCTGGCTGTTCTGTTTCCTGTGGCAAATTGTGGTTTGTTTTGTGGGTTTTTGTCATGCGCTGAGATGAAGCATAATGGAGCTCATGTCTGCACCTTAACTATTTGTGTGCTGATTACCCTTTGTGATCTGTATTTCTGTTTGTTTATTACCTCATGGAACCAGGTGGTCCCGCATAGAAATTATGTGAATCCAAAGGAGAAAGGAGGGTGAGATGGAGATGTACTGTGAGCAGTCAAGCTCAGTTTTCAATGTTTGTGCAGGAAGATGCATTTCTTGCCCCCTGATCCATCACTGTGCCTTGTTCCTCAGCCTTTCAGACAGCTTGAGGTGATCAGCTCAGCTTCTGGAGGAAATCTTCCAGCTTTCCAGAACTGACTGCTGGAAAGCATCACTCCTATCAACTGGGTGAAGAGATTGGGACGGACTCCCATAGGAATCATAGCTTCTCCTGAACCTCACTGCCTTTTTAAACTTGGAGCAGAGAGGCCAGGTTGGATGTGGTGCTTGGCAAGCTGCTCTAGTGAAAGGTGTGCCTGTCCATGGCAGGGCTTTGGAACTGGGTGTATTTTAAGATTCCTTCCAATCCAGCCCAAAGGGAGCTGCAGAGCTGAAAGGAATGGGTTTGGTCTCTATTTCCAGTAGGAACAGTATCAGCAAAGGAATCTAAATGGGATGTAAGAACATCTCCCATGGGCAGGAGGAGAGGCACCAGAGAAACATACAGATTTTAGCTTCTGTGCTGGCTAAGGACAAAGTCATGAAGTCTGCTGGGGGCACTGGGTGGAACTTTCATCAGATCTAGGCACATCCCTGCCTTCTTGGCATTTCCCATTGCTCAATGGTTACCAGAGACTGCATTTTCCTGGGGTGAAGGGAGATGCAACCAGTGTCAGCTGCTGCAGTAACATCCCTCCCTTCTGCCTGCAGTGGGTCCGGCAGCCACAGGACCCACATGTTACCCACCTGCTTCTCTTATTGTCCTTTAATCCCTCCACACGCATTCCTGCAGTGTGAAAACTTCAGCATCTTCCAAGATTTTGGTTTGTTATTTTTTTTTTGCTGCCAGGTGGGTCACTTGCCTTGCCAGCTCCTGGGCACCCTGCTCTGGGTGTCCCAGCTGGAGCAGAGGGCTCTACCAGCCTCAGCAGGCAGCTCACAGAGAGCAGTGACTGCTGTGGTACATCAGCAAAGCTAGTCCTGGTCTGCTCTGGGATGGTGTCTGTCTTCCTGAGGAAATCTCCAGCTCAGTCCTTCCAAAGACTGGTCCCTCTGTTGCTAAATCTGGCCTGGGGACTGCATGGGTTTGTCCTCTCACTGGAGAAACCGATGGCTTTGTGACCCCATCACAGTGATGGCTTGGTTGCAAAAAGTGAATTTGAGAATAATTCATCAACTCTGTGAACTTCAGGGAAATTATTTCTTGTAATGCTTGGCAGACAGGAAGTTGATTGTGATTTAAGTGCCATAATCAAGTATCAGAAAGGTGAGGAAAGCCAATTAATTAACCCTTGTAAATGCCAAGGTGTATTTAATTGTAATTTATCATTTGTTGTGGCCTAAACTGCATGGCTGGTGTTTAATACCATGCGGTAATGGTGTTTTAAGCAGGGGTGGCAGATGAAGTTTAGCTCCTGTTTCTGTGAGCTACATGCAGTGAAGCTTTATAGGTGGTATTATTTAGGAGGAGGAAATGATTATACACGTTTTAGGTATATTAAAGTCATAATGATGACATTTCTCTGCATTTTCTAACAGTTGCTTTTGCAAACTCCCATGACATAAAGCCTGGATGGAGCTCTGAGCACCTATTGGAGCTATCGGTGTCCCTGTTCATTGCAGGGAAGTTGGACCAGATGGTCTTTCAAGATTCCTTCCAGCTCAAACAATTCTGTGATTCTATAATGTTTGAAAAAGTTATTCTTAGCATTTCATTTATCATTCTCATTGGCCTTTCTGTCCCGAGTTGTTCCTGTGTCTCTGCATTACAGCTCCTCTTTGAACCATCCCTGGGCGCTGGTTCCAGTGCTCCCTTTGACCCCACAAAGGCTCCTGGTCCTATCTGATCTTGGGATGCTCACCAAAGCCAAGGGGACACAGGGCTGGGACCCATCAGAGAAGGCCCTGCCTCTTACTAGTTGTTGTCAGCCCTATGAAAAGGTTCCTGGGTCATCAGCTGTATCCTTTCCAACACTGTACAACGTCCTGTATGCATACAGAGATTCTTCTCTTCTTTTTGGTGTCCCCAGAAGAGGTGGCCATCCTTGGACATAGTAAGAATGGCTGCACGGTGCCTTCACCTGCTCTAACCTCAGAGCTGGCCCTGCCTTAAGCTGTGCTTGGAAGGATGTCCTCCCAAACTCAGCTGTCCCATGACTAGGCTGCTTCTGCCCATAGCTATAGCCTATGGTCCCCAGATTCAAGTCAAAGAAAAGCAGACCATGTTACCAACTGAACTCTGATGATAAGGCCAGGGAAACAGGGCTGATATAGCTGTGGGGAGTTGCTGGGGTGGCAGCTGTAGGAAGTCAGCATCCAGGAAAGCTGTTGGGAAGGGCTCCCCTGCAGAATCTAAAGAAGTGACACCCCCTCCAACCCTCCACACTGCTCTCTTTGCACCAGGGAGTTTTGACATGAAGTATTAAGTGCTGTTGTGCAAGGATTTTATTAGAATGGAGAAGACTGGATAGATTTACCTGTTCTAACGTGCTCTGCAGCACAGGAGTGAACAAAGAAGAGAACCTTGTGTTGTTGTTTCAAATGTTATGAGCCAACATTGTTCTGGCAGTCTGTCTCTACACACCAGGAGCCAGCTGTAAAAGCAGCAGCAGGACAGCATTTCAATCTGTGCTGAGTTTAATACGTTGCTGATCCCACAGTGTCTAATGCCCTATCTTGTACCATGTGAGATGTGAGGCCACAGCATCAGCAAACTGGATACGGAATATTTTGGAGCACAGCAGTGTAACACAGAGTGATTTGCACTGCACCCATAGGTCTGCTGCTTGAGGACACAATGTGTCCTTTCCACGTGCTGCCCTTGAGCTGCACAGACAGCTTTGCTCACCTTGTATGAGTACAGGTGCTTGAGCACTATTTTATCAGATATAAATAATTCTTACATCATGGTGCAGCTAAAAATCATGACATTTTCACTTCTAAGGATTTTTTTATGGAGAACTTCCTATATGTGGTTTTGTCAGATTCTGTTTGTTTGTGACCATTTGAACTCTGCATTCCAGCTGCTGCCTCCTATGAAATGAGGCTAATGGCAGCATGAGAAACAGCTGGGTTGTTAATTCTTAGCACCATAAAATTCACTGTTAGGAACAGAAGAAGTTCTTTGTGCATTTTTCTTTGGTGGTTATTCTAGGTTGAAGTTCTTCCGTGAAAGCACTTGATTTCTGCTGGCAAAAACGTTCTACCTTCTCTCTCTCCTTCCCCCCCACCACTTTCATTCGTTTCATAATAGAATTATAGAATCATAGAACCACAGAACATTCTGAGTTGGAAGGAACCCACAAGGATCACTGAGTCCAACCCCTGGCTCCACACCGCACCACCCAACATTCAAACCCTACATCTGAGAGTGTTGTCCAGATGAACTCCTTGAACTCCAGCACTGCCCTGGGCAGGCTGTTCCATGCCCACCGCTCTCTGGAGCAGATCCTGTCTCTAACCCCCAGTTGCCCCTCTCCTACCATCTCTGTAGCTCTCCTTCAAATGCTTTCAAATAGTTTCATGTCCTTTTTGTACAGTGGTGCCCAAAACTGCATCCAGTGCTCAAGGTGAGGCTGCTCCACTGCAGTGTAGGGCAGACAATCCCTTCCCTCAGCCATCTGGCAACACTGTGTTTGATGCACCCCAGGATACGGTTGGCCTTCCTGTCTGCCTGGGCACACTACTGACTCAACCCTGACTAAGAGAATTTTGAGTGCAGGGAACCCTCAGGCATAAACTTTATGGCTCCTTGCCTCCATGGCCTCAGTGAGAGCAGATGGAGCCCTCACTGCAGCAAGGGCCCCCGCCCCATCCTGAGCTGCACGTGATGGGCATTTCAGGTGCTCAGGAAGTGGTGAGCATGGGGAGCCCTTTGGCTTTCAGTCTGCCCATACGATGGTTTCACCTGATTTTAAAATATCCCAGAGATGGGGCTTCACCTTGACCACCCCAAGGCTACTCGTGTCTTGCCATGCAGGCATTTCCAAGCACTCAGAAGTCCAAATTTAATTTCTTTATATTTAAATATAATCCAAGGGAAAACAGATTTTCCTGAAAACAGCATTCACTAAAAATAACAGAAGGAAAGAATGAACCAAAACAAGAATCACAGAATGTCTTTGGTTGGAAAGGTTCTTAAAGTCCTCTAGTTCCAAACCCCAGGGAACAAGGAATTAATACACGCACATTGTCCATCAGCACTAATCCTGATTGACTTCCATGGCTGAAGATCATACCCACAGCAGAACAGCTGCTGCAAGTCCTGCTCCACCAGGATAGTAGCGTGGAGCTGGGAGGAAAACAAAACCCATCTGTCTCTTGTAGACACCTTTGGCAAAGCAGAATCCCATGGTTCAGCTGAGGGGCTGCTTTGGAGCGAGGGATCCCTGCCTCGTGCCCCTGAGCAACTCCCCCAGCACCCCCAGGATGTCTTGCAAGCCCTGCCCAGTGTGGGCACTGCATCCCCTCAGCATCCATGGGTGCCCTGCCAGCCGTCCCCTGCACAGTTGCTGTCCCAGCTCGGCGGGAGCCATGGCCCCTGGCAGCTCCTGCTTGTTGGCCAGGAGGAGGACAGGGACTTCAGCAAGACCAGGGTGGCCCAGGGTCTCCTCCAGCACCGCCAACGCTTCAGGCAGCCGAGCCGTGTCTGCGCTGTCTAGCACAAAGACCAGGATGTTGGTGTCCTCCAGGTAGTGGTGCCAGCTGGCCCGGAGGTTGGGCTGTCCCCCAACGTCCCAGAGGTTGAAGGACATGCCACAGGGCGTCCGCATGGCCTCCACATTGAAGCCCACGGTTGGGCACGTCTCCATGGCCTGGCCGCCCTTCAGCTGGTACAGGATGGTGGATTTCCCAGCGAGGTCGAGGCCCAGCATGACCACACGCGCGTCCCTTTTGCGCCAGCCTTTGGAGAACAGCTTCCCCATCGAGACACTGCTGCAGCCAGTGCAAAAAATATAGCTAAAATAATAATATCAGTTAATGGATAATATCAGTTAATAGCAGAGCACTCTGTCCTACCTCCCTTAGGTTTGCTGAAGGAGGAAACAGGCAGCCGGCCTTGGCTTCTCCACGCAGACCAAGGCAGAGCTGTTATTTCAGAGGCATGGAGCGGAGCCAAGGAGCACAGCCCAGAACTGCGGCTTCTGCACTCCCGCCCTGCTGCCTCCTGCCTCCATCCCGCCCACAGCTCTCTGCGAGCTCCACCAGCATCCTGCAAAAAGAGCCAGGCAGGCGGCACTGCACGCTTCCTCTCAGCGGGGCAGGAATACACCAGCTTTTGTTCATTGGCTTCTCGAGGGGAAATCCACCCCCAGCCGGACAGGAGGAAACCCGGGCTGCTCTGGGAATGTGCTGAATCACAGCTCAGGGGTGTGGATTTCAACATGAGCCACAAGACAACCGACAGTTTGCAGTCTTGCGACCGCACAACACAAATCTCAGTTCAGCGTTGGTTTTCACGACCTGCTGCACGGTGGTGATGGATTTAAAGAGATGCATGCAGACAGGAGTTTTAGTGTTTGGTAGAAATATGACCAGCACGAACATCTATAAAACTTATTGCATCAAGATGCTCACTACGTTTTGATTTCCGTAAGTAAGGCAGTCAGCCCTGTGTCACTGGGGGTGGGGAAGGAAATCTCTGTTAAACATAGAAAAAAGTTTACCAAGATGGCACCACTCAAACTTACACACCAGAGGCAGAAAAGGGCTGCTGAAACAGCAGAGCTGCTTGTGCAAGAGCAGCAGGTGGCAGCCAGCAGAGCCTGGCAAAGTGGATGGTACCCCCATCCGGTGGGTTTCTTGCCTTACAGCTGCTTGAAGGCACGCTGTGCTGAAGCAGCCATAAATCTGCAGAACAGAGCAATGCTCCCCAGCTACCCTCCCCTGGGCACAAAGAAGGAAATGTGATTTATGTGCTTTTCTCCATGCATCAGCAGGAGATGTAATTTCCTGGGTGCTGCTGTGTCTGACAGCTCCATGTCACGTGCCACCACTGCTGGGACAAGCCCAGCACTGCAGCACAGGGAGGTGGCCATCTGGACCTACAGACAACTTTGGCAGTGTTCCTATGAGAAAAGGCTGAAGCACATCCCATACAGCTGGGGCTGGGAGGTACTGGGACTGCCAGAATATAGAAATAGAAAAAGAGAACTACGATAAGGAGTGCAGTGATCCTAATCCTGCAGCCCAAGTCCTTTTCCTTAAAGCAGTTAAATTGGTGCCTGGCTCCTTAACCTATTTCTCCTCCAATCTGAGGAAACCTTCCTCCTATATTGCCTTGGGCTGTAAGATCAGCACAGTGGGTATTTTGTGATGTGCCAATGTGTGCCATGAATTGCCCCTTGAATCTGTTGTCTTTCTCTGCCTTTGCTGCTCCTCTCCTTCTCTGAGGCTGAACGAGCGGTACGGACGATCTGTTTCATTCTCATACCCCTGGTAATGAACACAAGTCTATTTATTTTCTTTCTCCCTGCCACTTGTTCCAATCATGGAGGTGCAGAAGATGCCTGCAGAGTCCGATCCACCCACAGCTGTACTATAAAGGCATAATATTCCAATAAATAATACATGGGTGCAATTGCAATTCTATGTAAGAAAGAAAAGAAAGTAAAAGCAGATGAAACAAGCTCTGAGTGAATCCATTGCTGGAGCAGGAAGGCTGAACACTAAATAATTCAGAAACTGTTCAGAGGTGAGGGCAACCCTTACTCCAGCTATATCTTTTGTGGGCAGAACAAATGCTCTTGCCCTGTTTTTCATGTCTCTGAATTCACAGGAACAAAGACGATGGTAGCTAATTCTGCTTATAATTAATAGATTCATAGAATAATTAAGGTTGGAAAAGACCACTAAGATCATCTGGTCCAACTGTCAGCCCACCCCCACCATGCCCACCATCCATGTCCCTCAGTGCCACAGCCACGCAGTTCTTGAACACCTTGAGGGATTGTGACTCCACAAGTTAAAACATAGCTCTGACTGTCTTGAAAAGCCTGAATCTCAATTCTTCAATTATTTTTAGTGTGTCTAGGTGAAAAGGAGGGAAAAAATGAGCAAAAAATGTTATCTGAGCCAAAAAAGGCTTTTGCTCAATCCTTTCATGTACCTTAGTATTTGCTCCTCCATCTGTTGAGCATCAAAGTTTCAAAGTTAAGATAGCTTTTTTTATATACTGTTCCTTCAGTTCCTGTTAAAAGGATGCCCTACAGAGGATATCCACACTGCCAACCTATTTGTACTATATATAGGTAGCTTCTTATCTGAAACTGTTAATTCTGTGGAAAGTAAAAATCACAGCTTGGAGGTACCTTGGTGAGGCTCTTCTCTGTAGATCAATCAGGATGAAACTCTGCTTTGAAATACCTAAATCCGGGTTTCTTTTATACCTTTCTGTATGACACGATGGATGAAAGCGAAGAAAACCTGTGAAAATTGATTTTAACTGCATTTTCTCGTGCTCACCACAGGGTGTCACTGTTGCCACACTTTTCTGAGCGAAGAAGCCGTCTCCAGAAGCATCAAACAGCTGCGGTCAAACCACCGGTGCCGGAGCTCCCTGCTTTGGTGAGGGGAGGGCTTCCTTTGGCATCCTTCTGTGACTGAATCACTTTGAAACAGGTTTTCCTGAACAGCTTTCTATATATTTTGTGAACCTATTTATAGAACGACTTGGGTTCAAAGGGTCCTTGAAGAACATCTAGTTCCAACCCCACTTCACATCTGTAGGAAGCTGAGAGCGAGGACTGCAGAGCAACACGAAATAAGATGGCAGTTATAGGTGATATTCAGCTTCAGATCATTTCATCTGGCATCAAATGCTAGGACTCTGCAGCTAACTAACTGATGGAAAACGTTATGCTGAACAAAGAGGAGAAAAACATGGAAGAATTTTCTTTTAGTATCCTTTACCAGTTCACTGAGAGTTGCCATCATGACTCTATGCTGTAGTTGCTTACAGAGCTGCAGATACAGACAGATCTTTTTTATCTAAGGCAGACAAAAGGCAATGCATTCAATCTATTCTTCTAATGTGCTCCTAGGAATGAATCTGATGATTCAGGTTACGCTAGGGCTCGTGGAGCAACTCAGTGCTGTGCTATTGTTCCTTTTGAATTTCAGATGCTCTGAGTTTAATCACTGGAGAAAAGCATTTCATCTGCTTTGGTTACCAAAAGAGATGCAAGTCGAGACGATCAGTGTGAGAGAAATAGCAGCATCCAAGTCAGCAATGAGTTACAGACATTGGCAGCACGCTGTGTTATGCAATAATTGTTTCTATTCTTAAAACAAACAAAAAAGTCTCTGAATATCATTGTTTGGCCCCGTTGATCTATTTAGCACTTTTCTAAAGTTTCCAGTCTGTCACAACTTTTCCAAGACGGATATAAGGTTTCGTATCGCCTTTCCTTCTGGAAAAAACACAATGAGAGAAGAGTGGTTTTGTTATTGTTTGCTTTTATGAGAAGACAAACAAGGGAACAAAAAAAAGAACAGAACTAAGTAGCATCCACTAGATTATTAAGTGAATTCTGCTTCATATAGAGCAATTTTATCTGTTTCAGCCCATTGTAAAGCTCAGGCACAGTATAAACCAACTGCAATTACCCTGAGGTGTTTAAGGACTTGTTGCATGTGTTGTCAATTAGTGATAACACCAAGAAATCTAAACCCACGTGAATAAAAAAACTCCACTGGATGCTGTGTACCAGTACTTGTTTCAAAAAAAATGGGTTTCTCTATATGATAAGCAGATCTTTTCTACAGTTATAAATAGGATCAAAGTTCTGTTTACGTAGCCTCACCTTCTCACCATCTCCTAGCAATGTCAGGAAAGGCAGCTATCCTCAACAGATTATTTGTTTGTGGGGACAAAAAGATGAGCAGAAAACAGACACGTGTAGGCACTGCTGTTTCTGTAGCAAAAGGAAAATCGTCAGTGTGCTTAGGTATTCTGTAGCAATCCCCTTTCTGGCTCTTTTAGAGCTTTCCCCTGAGACTGTGACTACACTTTTCCACGTATCTTATTTATGCTTTGACTTTGTAGCTCGATGCTGCACAAGCTACCCAGCAGTGTCTTCCCGAGGCCAGCGGCAGCAGTCACAGCAGCACAGCATGCAAGAACTTGGCAGGGAACACCTTTCTACCCCTGGCCTCCTGCTGTGCCTTCTCTGCCTCTTATTCCAGGGCAGAATTTCTTCAGCATTGCTGATTCCCTCCCATAGCAACCTTTCTGGATTTGACTCCTTCGGTGCTGAAATTATCATTACTCTTTAATGTATTCTTTCTTGTAAGCTGGCCACCCCCAAACACAGGCTGATGCTTCTTGCAGGCCCTGCCCTGCTGCTCCACGGCTCCCTCAGTCAGCTCCATCAGAGGGTGGTGACACACTGGAACAGGTTGCCCAAGGAGGCTGTGGATGCCCCATCCCTGGAGGCATTCAAGGCCAGGCTGGATGTGGCTCTGGGCAGCCTGGTCTGGTGGGTGGTGACCCTGCACATAGCAGGGGGTTGAAACGAGATGATCTTTGTGGCCCTTTTCAACCCAGGCCAATCTATGATTCTGCGATTCTCTCTGCTGTTGCAAGGCCCCGCTGCCTCGTGACCCCGAGCACGGCCAGGAAAAGAAGGAAACTTGAAGCAGCAGCAACCATTTCCCGGTAAGAGCCTCGCGAAACAACAGCAGGCTCTCTTGGGAGAGCAGCTCTGCACTCTTCCCTTTCCCGGATCCTCCCCCACAGCTGCGTCCCGTCCTTGAGCTGCAGCTATAAACACACAGCTGTAAAGACAGAAAACGTCAGCGCTGAGTTAAAGCGGACCGTAACGGCTGACCAAAAGCCTCCGAAACCTCCAACCCCGCCCCGACGGCTCGCTGTCCCTCACAGCGCCGGGAAGTAAAAACAGACGGCGGTCACGCGTTCCACCCCTTGGAACCAATAGGAGACGAGGAAGATGGTCACGTGATGGCAGGCGCGAACAGTCAAGCGGGAAGGGGGGGGAGTAAGGGGGCGTGTCACGTGACGCGCCCCCCTCTCCCCCCGCCCCCCTCCGGTCGCTGTCACGTGCGCGGTGCCGGCGCGCGCCCTGCCACGGTGCGGCTGCAACGGTCGTAACGGTCGTAACGGCCGCGGTGTGCGGAGGCGCTCAGACGGAGCGGCACCGGAGGATGCGGCAGCAGCCGGGTGAGGAGCGTGAGGCGTCTGCGGCCCGGCCAGCCCTTCCCGCCGTTCCCTCCCGCCGCTCTTCCGTCGGAGCGCCGTGAGACTGCGGCTGTCACACAGCTCTGCCCGGCGTCCCGCGAGCGTCTTCCTGCTTTTCTAAGGGCTTTTGTGTCTCCACTTTCAGGACTTTCTGCTCATCCTTCTCTTTGTTGCCCGTTTCCTCAAGGCACAGGTCGAGCACGCTGGAAAAGTGAGGCTCTGAAGGTTGTTTTCCTCGCTAGTCTCTATATGAGCGATTAGTCTCTTGAGATCTCGAGTCTCTTGTTTGGTGATCTGTAGTGCTTTTTTTAAATGGAAGCAATTGGAGTGGCATCTTTGGGAAAGCATCCTGCAGGCTGCTGATAGGAGGTAAGGTGGATGCTATGCGTTGGAGCTCAGAGGGCTGTGTGAGAGAGCCTTTGGGGCAGAGAGGTGCTTAGAAAAACAGCATTTGGGAGGGAGAACTATCTTTGCAGCCTTACTCCATGGGGCCTTTGCGTTCTTATTTCTTATGCGTCTTGCTGGAATATAGGTGGGTTTTCCAGGGTGTCTCATCCAGAGTGAATGGCTTCAGTGAGTTGTGCTAATGACTCAGCTTCTTGTTGAAAAGAAGAAGGAAAATGCACGTTGTGACTGGGCCTGTAGTCTTGTTATGGTGGTTGAGCGACTCGGTCATCCTAGTAAGGGTTTCTTTGTGTGGTTAAAACGGCCTTGTGTTCAATGGTGTCCATGTATGTGCTGGTTTTTGCTTGCATCTCTTTCAGCCAACTGCTGAACCAGGAGGACTGCTTGCCAGATTTTAGTCTTTCCCTGCAGTGCTCTTAAAAAGGCATCAAAGAATAAGTCATCTGCATGCAGAGGTTTGAGCATATTGTCACAGGCATCTTGTCTTATGTAAGGTCTCAGGAAGGTAATAAGTTATGACATGTGATTTCAGGTATGCGACATTCTCCTTGCCACCAAAAAAGATGTCACAATAAAGTCACTTAGTTTGTGCGTCCCATCAGTGTCAGTAGCATGCATTGTTTCCCTCTTCTCAGCACTGAAACTTGAGATTAAAAACCAAACCAAATGAGAGAAGATGTTGGGAGGACCACCCTCCCGTCTAGGAAACCACTATGTCTAGGGTTTGGCTGTTCTTTGATTGAGGGGTACTTAAAAGAGGATTAAGTTTGCCAATCGTTTCTTGTTTTTCTGAAACTGGATATTCCAGCTTTTGTATTCTCACTGCTGGTTGATTTCCCAGTAGGGGAAATGAAGGCCTGCTGTTTTTCTGTGCAGGAATAAGAATAAGCTGCAGTGTTGGAGCCTAAGGAAGGAGTGACACAAACACACAACTGTTGCCAGATAATCTTTACAGGGGGATAATCTCTGAAGAGTTAACTAAAGTTTTTTGTTCTGTTGACAAAGGGTACTGTTTTCCCAGTAGGATATTGTATTATTGTTCTGTGCAGCATGGGTTTGTTCAGCTGAACTGTAAACTCCATGAACTTTTATCTAAAAGCATTTAAAACAATTTTGTAAACATTGTTTTCTGGGGCTTTGTCGTTTTGTTTTGTATTTGTTAGACAGGGATTCATGTATGCATGCTGTGTATCGCTTGGAATCAGCCTGCTCATTGTTTCTGTAGAAAGCAGGCTAGGGAGATGTTGAATGCATAGGCAGCAGTTCAGCACAGAATATTTGAAGGGCTTCTATCTCTGAAAGCACGGGGCTCGTCTTGTTGTGAACAGCTCTAGGTATTTTTTTCCCCTAATGCTGATGATGCCTTTCAGTTTTATTTCTTTTCAGCACAATGTGTGGCCAGTTCAGTTTCCTTTTCGACAAGTCATCCTTTCTTGCTTATTTTTGGCATCACTGAAATTCAAACAGTCATCTTTGTTTCTGTTCCTGTTTGGCTGCTGATGTTGCTGGATAATCTCAAAGATGTCAAAGTAGTTAGAAGAGGCATGGCTGATATTAGCCCCCTCTCCTGGTTGGTTCTGCAGTGGTGGAATACTGACATGGCAGAAAGCAGCATGGTTGGTGTGTTGTTGTTTATCAGGGGGTCATGAGGCAGAAATGAAGACAGTGAAGAGGAGTGGGATGTAGTGTTTTGCAAAGCAGTATCTACCAGAGCACCAAGTTTAAGATTAGGCCTTCTGTACTTACAAGGATTTCATAGAATCACAGGATGGTTTGGGGTGGAAGGGACTTCAAGGATCATCATGTTCCAACCTGCCTGCCACAGGCAGGGCCACCAACCCCCAGATCTGGTAGTAGACCAGGATTTCTCATATTCCTTTCTTAGAAATGTGGTCATTAAATGTAGATATTGATGTATAAATGACAGATATTCCTAAGAACTGCTGCTGTGTTGCATACAGAATCTAAGCAATGGCTTGTTAGCTGATCTATGGAGACTTGAATTCCAGTACATTCGCTACTGCATTGCACTTAAAAAGTTCCCATTAAGGTGCAGGTTTTGAGAGGTGTGTATTGTAGTGGGGTCCAGGCCTCTGTGATTATCAGCACGAGTAAACTTAGCTCTTTGCTCATGTTGTACAGGAAGGTGAGTGAAGGACACTGTGTCCCTCTGTGCCACTGCTTGCAGTGACATGTCTGAGGTCTTCTGGATCAGCCTGTTATTGCAAGATGTGCCCAGAAAAAACTCTGCATGTGCCTTTTGCTCCTAGACTATTCAGCTAGCTCTGGGGCTGAAATGAATTTGGGTCATCATTGAGAGAACCTGGTATGCTACATATATGTAGTGTAGTCTCTTGGTAGTGTCTTACTGGAAAGCTAGGAAAGTGGCTAAGGTTTTTTGGGAATCCATCTTTAGGTAGGGGGGAAAATGGTGCTTATGCCTAAGTTGGGCATTTCTGTGAGAAATGGCAGATAAATAGTTAAGAAAAAGTCTTTTTCATGACAAGTTTGCATTAAGTGGGGTAAATTAAGTAGGTGAAGTCAAGAATGGACTGAGTTGGAACTTGGTCTTCTCAAAAGAGCAAGACATCACTTTTTTTTTTTTTAAGTGATAAATAACATGTAAACATTCTGCATTGCAGGATTCACTGCTGGTCTTAAATAGCTCTTCTTCTGAACTTTGCCTTGCAATTCTGGGGGCAGGATTGAAGGTCTAAATGAGCTCTGTAGGTTTTGTTGGCTGGTAGCTTTGTTCTTAAGCTGGTCATCATAGAATCATAGAATTGTTTGAGTTGGAAGGGACCTTTAAAGGTCATCTGGTCCAACTCCCCTGCAGATGGCAGCCCCTGGCTCCTCCAGGCCCACCCCTCTCCTGGAGCAGGGGCTGCCCTGGCACAGGACAACTCACACAGTTGCAATTATCCTGGGGAAACTGGGAAGCAGCAGCATGGTGTAAGGACGTATTATACACGTGTGTATTCACTGACAGGTAACATTTGTTATCCAGGCAGCTGTTTCTAGCTTGTTTCCAAGGAAGAAACGATGACAATTTCACTTAATCAGCTTTTCCTCCTGTGTATTTCGCTATTTAACTGTACAAACCAGCAAGTTTGTTTTGTGGAACGGTGGCTGTTTAGTAGTACTGGATACAGTTTGCTTATATATCCAGTTGAGTAAAGACCACTCTTCTAGTGTTCTACCCCAGTCATTTGCTGTTTGTTCACCTTAATACATAGAAATATAATTAAATACTTCATATAGGATAGAATGTTATACTCTCGGACACACCGATTAGCACATCTTTTTTCTCATTTAAAGGAAATGATTTTTTACTACCTGTTGATAAAAGCATAAAATACACTTTTAGATAAGATTTTCTTAATTATGGCATTGTCATCTTGCTTGCAGTAAGTACATGAGACACAGTAACATCATGGTGGATGTGGGAAAGTGGCCAATATTTACCTTGCTGTCACCTCAAGAAATAGCATCTATTCGGAAAGCGTGTGTGTTTGGTACATCAGCCAATGAAGCCATATACACTACACACAACGATGAGGTAAGGCTTTACTAAAATAGAACAGATTTTGCAAACCTGAGTAGACTATGATTTCTTTTCTTCTTTCACATCTTATAGAACTTGTCTGAGTTTCCAGTAGCAGAGCTGTAGCCGAGAGAATATGCTTTTACATGACAATACTGTCTTCTTTTGTGACTGTATACTTTCTGTAGTGCAGTTCCTGCAAATGAGAAGCCTGGCTTTCTGGCCTACACAAGTCTGAAGCATTCAGACTCATTAGTTAACTTCCTGAGTGCCCCAGTGCTGACATTCAAGTTTAGCTTCTGTGAGTGAAGTCTTTGACCCTCAAAAGTCCATGGCAAAGCTCTGCCCTGGCTTCACGAAGACCTGGATATCACCAAATCTGTGTACACCTGAATGTAAGGCACTTGAAATCAGTCTTCCTCTGTTTTTCAGGTGTTTGTTTTTGGACTGAATTGCAGCAATTGTTTGGGAACTGGAGATAGTCAGAGCACAATAGTACCAAAGAAATTAGAAGCCTTGTGTGGGAAGAAGATTTCCAGTCTCAGTTATGGAAGTGGACCACATGTTCTACTTTGCACCGAAGGTAGGAAACGAATGTTTATTATGGAAGGATAAGTTACAGATTTAAGTTCTGCTTATATTTAACAAGAGTGGATTAGAGGGCAGTTGTATGAATCTGTTGATTGGATACTAATACACATAATGCATGCTAGGGGGTCTTCATTGATCTTAAGTAATGTTTTCCTTACACTTCCAGTACAAGGTAACTGCAGAGTTTTATTCTATCAGTTGTGGCTTACTTGGTTTTAACTGTGTGCTTTCACTTATTTCCACTATAATCTAGAGGTCATACCATGTTATATGTAGTTGCTTGTGTACAACATACATAATCTGTCATCATCCAAAGGAATGTCGTACTAGTTTCAGTACTTCTTAATCTCTTTTTACTGTCTTGTTGGCACTTTCCCAATCCTTAAAATTCTATCTTAATTTCCTCAGAATTTGTGGTAGTTTTATCATATTCTTAAATATTTTTGCAGATGGAGAAGTGTATGCTTGGGGACATAATGGCTACAGCCAGCTTGGGAATGGTGCAACCAATCAGGGTGTTACTCCTGTTCAAGTCTGCACAAATCTGTTACTAAAGAAAGTGATTGAAGTAGCTTGTGGCTCTCACCATTCCATGGCATTATCGTTTGATGGGGATGTAAGTTGAAACCTGTTCAAATCTCTTAATTCCTTCTTGGAGTGGTATAGGTGACCTTGCAGACTGCAGTGGTTACAACTCAACCTTTTCTTTTACTGCCTCGACCTAAGGTGTCCTTTACTTCAGAGCAGACTTGAAAATAGCTTCTTCCTGCCTTTCTCTCCCGCTTTCTCCCCCCCAAAAAAAGAAATAATAGGGTAATAAATGTTTGCTTGTTGTAAGTTTCACAAGGAGGACACCAGACAGCTATACCTCTTACAGACGGCAGACTCTTTGTGATGTGCAAAACTGGAGATTACTTGCTTTGCAATTCTGATATTAAAGGTGTTTGTTGAGTTGTCACTGGTTAGCCTTCAGTCTGCTTCTTGCAGTCTTCATGATTTCCACTGTTATTATGGAAAGAATGTTGCTTTGTACATCTCTGCGCACTTGTGTGTGTAGCTGCTGAGCGAGCATTTAGTTCACGTGCCAAGTCTGCTTTATGCTATTTGTTTCTGTGGCTTGAGGCTATGTGTCATGGGAAACATGTCCAATTATTCTCCATTTAGTTAGATTTGACCAGTGTGTGTGTGATTGGAACTGCGTTTTACTGCATGGAAGAAAGCTCGAGTCAACTCTGCTTAAAAAGAAACAAAAACACAAAAAGCACAAACCTTTCTAACGATGAAAATGGAAACTGCAGCTCTTTTCATCCCAGTAATCTGAGCACATCTGAGTTATGGTTAATTATGGAGTCATAATGCTGCAGTTAATACAAAGGAGCTGAGGGTAGGAAAGAGCCTGAGTTAATTTAGGTGGAATGCATTATATCTCTAAAAGGAGAGCCAGTGCTTAGAAAAGATCTTTGTGCTGTCATGTTTGCTTGGATTATATATGATAAAATTTGATATGTAATTCTCTTCCATGTGGAAAGGCAATAGTATTCATGTGTTAGCTTAAGTGTTGGTGTCAGCTACTGTGTGGTAGCTGCCTGGGGTGCTTGTGCTGTCTTTTGTAATAAACATAACGTGTTTGAAATCTCAGTGGAAGAGGGGAAACTTCTTTGTATTTCCCATGGAGCTGATGTTTGCAGCTGGCTAGCCATTGTGGCTAGTTAATGTACCATAAATACATCCACAGTGTACCTTGCTGTAGCTTAGTCTGTTTGTGCTCTGAGGTTTTATCTGTTTCAGAACCAATTAAATTGAAAGCAATGAAACATCTTAAGTGTAGTTTTATTTACAGAAGGACTTGGCTGCAGAAAGCCTTGTGGCTTGATCTGAAGTTTCAGAGACGTTGGAGTTGGAAGTAACTCATGGAAATACTTGGAATACTTGATTTGACCTGTTGGTTCAGTGTGAGTTTAATGCACTACAAATAAAAATTGTGCAGAGATTTCTGTTAGATCAAAATATTCAGTAGGAATCAGATCCAGAAAATACAAGTAACAATAAGCAAAAGACTAATGCTTTATTCTCTCTTCAAATTAACCGTGATGTATGAGTTGTGGGGTTTTGTTACTTTGTTTTGTTGCTGTTGTTGCTGTTGTCTTGACTTGGCTTGGTGAATTTGCTCTGTTCTAAGGTTAACTGGCACCCTAGGGTGTGCAGATTTGACATAAGGTATCTCTGTCAGCATGCAGGTGGTTAGCATTCCTATAGTGAGTATTTCCAAGAGGACAAACTTATGAACTGTCTGGTTTATCAGAGAGCTATCAAAAATAGCTCTATGCCAAGGGCGTAACTTCAGTAATAAATACTGAAGAAAGTGAACATCCAAAGCTGTAAGTGTTTTTATGGCAAACTACTTTCCTGTCTTTTGGACTTATACATGAAAGAAGGCTTTTCTAATATATATTTTAGCTGTGTGCCACTGGCAAACTTGGATGTTTCAGAAGTGCTGCTTTTTGATAATGCCACTGTGTAACAAAGTTACGTTACTTGGACACGTGACCTGATAAAACCAGCTGCTTTAACAACTGTTGGAAGAGTGAAAAAGAGTACTGAACAGTGAGGGCTTCTTTGTATTTGGGAATCAAATCACTTTCACTTGATTTCATGTTTTTCCAACATCATGAAAGCGTGAAGTCCATTCATTCTGCTCGTTTGGTTAACTTCTACTTTAGGTGGAAGTACATTCCTTGTGCTGGCTGAAGTCAAATGCTCTGATTCTGTAGTAAAAAGCTGGAGAAGTGCTGTGTTCTTATTTGTAATGTCAATTCTGTTGTTGTTTATTAACTTAAAACAGATGAAAACTATCTTAAGCATTTTAGCTAATTAAATACATTGGTTTACCCAATCTGATCCTGGCTATAGTAAGATTATTATTTATTACTGTTATTAAGTCTTAAACTACAATTTTCTGTTTGTTTTATGGACAGCTGTATGCTTGGGGCTATAACAACTGTGGTCAGGTTGGATCAGGATCTACAGCAAACCAGCCAACTCCTCGGAGAGTTTCAAACTGTTTGCAGGATAAAATGGTAGTTGGCATTGCTTGTGGTCAGACCTCCTCCATGGCTGTAGTGAACAACGGTGAGGTAAGCACTGCTGTGTTCATTCATTCTCTGTCAGTTACCCTGTCTTCTGAGATTAAGGTCTGAGCATGGAATAAAATGCTGATACAAAGTGCTCAAGTTACAAATGGTCAAGTGTGCTGTCTTTATGTAGATGTTCCATCTTATGGCAAAAACTGCATTGAATTATGCCTTCATCCACTCTGCATCTGCAGGAATGTGAACAGTTCAATATTTTCTTCATTTCAGTAGCTTCTTGAACATGTGTCTTGATTAGACTTTTAAAAACATGCACAATTAAATGGTTAATCTTTCTGCAGAAAGACAGGGAATGATCCCAGTTCTTGAATGTATTGCTGAACTACCAGCTCCAAAAAACAAACAAAAAAAACCCCAACAAACCAACAAAGAAAGAATTTGAACATTTCCCTAGTATTGTGCAACAGTCCCATTTCAAATAAGGAGTTTACAATACTAACTTTCCTCTAAGTTTGAACTGTAACTTCAAATTTACTGTATCTGAGAGCGTAACACTTTCTTATGACAGGAGGGGCTGTAAAAGTCCTTGAGGTTGAGATGAGCTTCCATTTTGTCTTCATCTGTCCACCATAACAAAACTAAAGGGAAAATTTGAGCTAAGCTGGAGGCTTCATCTTAAATTAATCCATTAGATTAATCAGGAGGAAAGTATAGGAAAAGGAAATAGGAAAGTCAACTAAATCTGTTAAAACTTGCCATAAACTAAAATCTGTGTCATTACAAAAGTTTTAGTATTTCAAAGAGATGTATTTTTGAACACAATAAAAGTGTATTTAAGATGTAATACAGGAGCGAAAAGCTGAATACAGTCAGTTGTACAGTGTATTTAGTATCTGTCATCCTTGCCTGCATTCCTTTTGAAACAGTGTACAGATTTCTTTTAGTAAGATATCTATTTTGGACTTGTGCTTCATATTAAATCTGAAGAAACTAAGAATGTGTATTCTGTATTTCTAGGAGGCTGGCTTACTATTGTTTTCCTTTTGCCTTTAGGTTTATGGCTGGGGTTACAATGGTAATGGTCAGCTGGGTCTTGGAAACAATGGCAACCAATTAACGCCGTGCAGAGTGGCAGCATTACATGGTGTGTGCATACTCCAGGTATGTCTAATGTAGAGATGAGGAATGCATTCATGTTTCTAGCATCTGTTAAAACTGTATCTTTAGAGTCTTATTGCTGCTTCTGGATATCACAGCTCTAATGCTGAGTTTACTTGGTTCCTACAAATTGCATTAGGCATATAAAAAGAAGTAGTCACTCCATAGAGTGCTTGCTTTTGTGAATGTGAATGCTTTACGTTTGGCTAGTGTAGCTGAGTAAATTATGTTATAGATAAAAATCTCATCTTTGTTACAGAGCTGTATGAGAACTGCACTGGGCAAATGCAAAAGGGGAAACAAGGGAATGAATATGTTCCAATTAGATTCTATGTTGATATTCTAATTAGCCCTTCTAATGTGTTTTGTGCTAGCTTTAAGTACTGAGAAATAACACATTTTATTAGGTTGAAGATAGGTAGATAAAAGAATGCCCGAGGTGTTTAACATCAGCTAGATTAAGGTAATGTGTGTGGTAATTTGTTCTTGTTTCTTTTTTGTTTAGTAATAACGCTTATACATTTACTTACAGATTGCCTGTGGCTATGCACACACTCTAGCACTAACAGATGAGGGCTTGCTCTATGCCTGGGGAGCTAACACTTATGGGCAGCTGGGAACTGGCAATAAAAGTAACCAGCTAAGCCCGCTGCAGATCATGATGGAAAAAGAAAGGTAATCTTTCTGAAGCAGTTTCTGTGTTGATATATTTGGGTACGTGTTATGTGGTCTCTAGCATTGGAAGCATGTGCATTTGGGGTTTCTATTCTATTTCTGTTGCCAATGTTGAAAGCATGGTAACTTTTTCTATAGACTGAATGCTTTTTGCTCTCTCTAAAGATTATTGAAAGTAAACATTTTGTACTTTCCCAGTGCTGAAAAAGAATGACCAAGTGTTTGGCTTTTCAAAATGTGGTTCTTTCAATTAAAAAATAAATAAATAAATAAAAATAAAAAAAAATTGGAGCTATGAAATCAAAGAGCCGAGCTTTTAAGCTGCATTGAGGCCTACATTAAAGGGGAGGGGATGATGGCAGGAAGGAGTGACAAATGGGAAAATCAATTTTCTGAAACAGCCTTGGACAAGTGCTTCTGAACAATGGTCAACTATGGAAACATAACTAAATTTACAAGCTTGCTAGAGCTGTGGCTAAATGTTCTTGCTTTTATCAGTGGTACCATTTAGCAATTTCTCAGATTTGTAAAGGATTGACCTTTGTCAGCACTCCTTCAGCACTCTTAGAATATTTGGGATGTAAGTCTTACAGCTCTTCTGCTGTTCACTTACAAACATGGACCTCACTCCCTTTTGTCTGGACCCATGTATATACCTGAAGATAGTCTTAATTTAGTTTGGAAACATCATGGTCTATAAATCCCTTAACTTGTGTATCTGTTATGTTATAATCTCCTTTTATCTAAGGAATACTCATGGCTGACTTTCTTATATTCCAATGCAAATGGAGGAAAAAATATAGCTGAGGAAGATGTCTGGACAGTCATTCTAAGAAGTCATTCCTATTTTTTTTTTTCCTGTTTCTCACACTTTTCATTAAATGAAAAAGTGCACAATGCTGGGATTATTTAAGGGCTTTAAAAAGTTTGGAGGGGGGTTGGAATAAGAAGCCAACGCAGCAGAAACCACTGAGGTGAGGCTGGCTTGTCTGTGAAGAAACTGGTGTAGTGAAGCAAAGTGAAATATTTCATTTGGAACTGTAGAGCGAGTCCAGAGGAAGCCACAAGGATGGCTAGAGCATCTCTCTGCTGAAGAGAGGCTGAGGGAAAAAAGGAGCAAGAAAATGTTCAAGTTCTGTGTAGAATCTTAAGGGAGTGGCAAGTCACTTGAACTCTCTCATCTTGCTTGACTTGACTCTATTGGAAACAGTACTTCAAGTGGGTGAGCTGTCATTTCCCATGAAGCATATTAATGCTTCTCCTGATCCTTTCATTTATATAACTCTTCTGTCACTTACGCATAAAGTTGCTGACAGTTCCTTGGATGGCATTTTATATTATTTTAAAGAATTTTGCCCATATAGCTTGTAAGAATCTTTTAGACTGAAGTTTGTGCTAGCTTGGAGACAGTTTTGAAGATACACTTGTTGAATTTTTGTAAGTATACACTTATCATGTTGTACCATACATTTACTACAAAAGTATTGTTTTATACTAAGCAAGCATATCACCTATTACCAGTACGTGTACTGAAAGTTATCTTAGATCTTGGTCTTCAATGTTGAAAGAATTTTGTACCTAAAATGTATATGACCTAAAAAGCTGACTTATCAAGAATATTGTTCTGTAAAAGAATAAACACTTGGAGATGCGTGCTTTTAGACTGTTTGTTATATGATTATTTGTCCCAGTTGGTCTGTGTCGGAGTTGTTTGGGTTTTTTTTTTTTTGCTTTTTGAAACAAGGAAAGCACAAAACCAAAGTTCACTGATGCATTTTTAACATGGGGGGAAGCCAGGAAAGCACAGCTTTAAGCTTTGAGCTTACCCTAGGACTTCCCCTGATTTTTTGTTTGTTGTCTGGATAGACGTGCTGAAAATATCCTTGGCAGTCCTTTTAATGGAAGCATGATTCTTCTTGGTTCACCAAATAGCAGGATAGGGATTCTGCAAGCAATGGGAGGAACAACACAGATGTGTGCATCAGTAGCACACATAAGACTTTACTTAAAAGGCAATAATAGCTTTTTAAGAATGAGATGTTAAGTGTGTATTCACTTTCAACAGACTGTGCTTCATTTTAGCAGGAGCTTGTTCCAAACTGAGTTTCAGCATGAAGGGAAGGAAATTAGGGTGGTGAGGCTCTGGTACGGGTTGTCTGGAAGTGGTGGATGTCCCATCTCTGCAGACACCCAAGGTCAGGCAGGAGGGGCTCTGAGCACCTGATGGAGCTGTAGGTGTCCCTGTTCATTGCAGGGCAGTTGGACCAAACAGCCTTTAAGGGTCCCTTCCAACACAAATGATTCTGTAATTCTATGAAAAATAACAGCAAAACAGGAAGCCAGAAACACAGGCAGTAAGTCAGATCTCTGTTTACATAAGGGAGGTGGGGGACGAGGATGAAAAGAGGGACAGAAGAAGAAAAGGCTTATTGAAAAATACATAGGATCTTAATTTGAGAGAATTTTTGTGTCTGTTTTGAAAGTTCTGTAAAGTGCTCTATAATACTATAGAGGTATTATAACTTTCTGGACTGTTCACTGTCTATAGGTTTGCAAGTTCCATAAGCATTTATCATTGAGAATAAGTATCTGATGTGTATTGCTTTTAAAGGTGAGGGTGAGAAATACTGTTTTTCTTCATCTCCTTTCTATGATTATGGAAGAGATGGAGAAACGTCCAATAAAACAGACAGCATCAAAGCAATGTTTGATTAGAATAAAATCTGCAAGTAATCTGAAAACATCAGTGCAGCTCTTAAATAATTATCTGGTCAGGCAGAATTGTGCTGGTGCAGGGCAAAGAAGTGCAGCAGTATCAGTACATATCTTGCTCAGCTGTTATTTTAGTGCAGTGCTTAGAAGGTCACTCAGTTCCATACCTTGAAGTGTCTTACAAGGTTTCTTCTGTTTGCAGGGTTGTGGAGATTGCAGCCTGCCACTCTGCTCACACTTCGGCTGCCAAGACGCAGAGCGGCCAGGTGTACATGTGGGGCCAGTGCCGCGGCCAGTCTGTTGTCCTTCCCCACCTCACTCACTTTGCCTGCACTGATGATGTGTTTGCTTGCTTTGCTACCCCTGCTGTTATGTGGCGTCTTCTCTCAGTAGGTGAGAACAAGCTCTGAGATGGCAGCCGGTGTTCAAAAAGCCAAATAGTGTTGATTTAAATATTCTTATGACATTTGTTTCTGTGTTATAACCTTTGTGCACACTTGTGGTTATTACTGCAGTATACCACTTCTGTTTCAGGGTGGTTCTTGCTTTAAGGAGAACTGTTGATTTAAAACTAGTTCTTTTTGGGGGGTGGTGGTGGTGTTTCTTAGTTTATTTCTCTTCCGTCCTTCTACTGAAGGAAACAGTCTGTGTTAGCCAAGGATCCAGAATGGGGTTAACAAGATTGTTTGCCAATAAACGTCCAGAAAGAGCCCTGTTGTTTACACTGTGAAAATTGTGCATTTCCTATGTTTGAGCTTCAGCTCAAGACAGGGAAATGGCTCCCGGATCAGTAAGCATTACTTATCACTCTTAAAACTTTCTACTCAGAAGATTGCTCCTGACTTTTGTTACTTTGGTCTCTAATGACTTTGAATTGTATGTGCTGTCTTTAGCTTTTCCTCCTTCATATTTATTCTACTAGCATGAATGGGAAAGAGCAAATCTCTTGCATGCTAGGAGAGCAAAAGTAACCTTTTCTCCAGACTTGTACTTTTACCTTTGCATGTTACACATTATATTTTTCTTATCTATAGACAGCCCTGTAACTGTCTAAGAGTTCTCCCAACCTGGCTTCTCCACGATAATTTCTCATTTAGCACGTTTTTGCATTTATTTGTTATTTGCAGTGGTCCAAATAACAGCATCTCATCTATAGAGAAAACTAAACAAGCTTACCAGAGACAGAAGATCAGCTTGGATTGATCAGTCTCTGGGCAAATCCAAGTCTTGTTTTATCCTACTTCCTCAGTTTTCTAATCCTATGAAATATTTGTTACTCTTGCCTTTTGCAGAGGTCTGGTGGTTGTCCTGAACTGTTGTCTTTTCCTGCTAGTGAAGGCTCTAATTGGCACCTTCCTAGTTTCAGTAACTTAAATTTTCAATTTTTATGAAGTATTTTCAGATTGAGTATGGAAGGTATTTGGATATTGTTTCTGCATTTTAATTCTTAACCTAATATTCCCAATTACTCAATATTTACATCAAAAACAGTAATTCTCTGAGCATTTTTAATCTCCATTCCTTCTCCACCTGTTTTATTCATACAGGCTCTGAAAACTTTTTTCTTTTCTCAGCTTTTTCTTAGTGACAGCTAACTCTGCATAAAGATTATGTTCTATTTCCAGTTATGATGGTTCTGCCAAAGAAATAAGTCATTCACTCAGGATTGGCTGTACTGAAGTTCAAATCTGCAGCCTTTTTGAGGAATGGACTTAAGGTATTTGGGGTGAAAGTCCATCATCAGCGTAGCTTAAACTAAGCTGGTGACCTAGGAAAAAATCACATGAGTAAGTGAATGGGTATTGGAGTGTGGTTTATTTAGTCCCAGTGAGATGTCAACTCTGTGTATGATCCATGCAGAGTAAACTACAAGAGTTTGTTTTTTTTTTTTTTTGTGGCAGAAATATAACATCTGCTACAGTAGTTTGTTACACTTACTTTTATATATATGATATACTGTTACACATTTTAAACTGTCCCTAATTATGAAAAGTAGTTAGCATGTGGATGATCTATACACAGTCCTGTGGAGACAAGCTGCATCTTTTTGCAATGGAAGCATTTTTCTCCTTTATTCTGTTTTCTCCTTCTTTGTACTTCTGAGATGCTTAAAATAACGGGCTGAAGTTGGGTTATCTAAAAATTTAGAGATCTTGCTTTACTCAATCTTAGCCAGCTTATGCTGCATATGTTGCTAGGATTTCTAGGGGTGCAAAACAGGACCTCTCTGAGATCACTGCATTAGACCTTAGTATTAACTGTCAAAGAGCTGTGATCTCACAGCTTTAATCCCCTTCCAAAGTTGCAAAGCTCTCTATCCTTTAAAGTAGGTACTGTATTCTCAGTACAGTCTCCCTTCTTGCAGCATGTCTTGTGTTGTCATAATTGACCGATAAATTGAGTATAACAGCATCAACAATAATTGTTATTAGTGAGCTCTGGCAAAGACTCAAACAGCCAACCTGAAGGCTGTTGCTGTGCACCGTGTCTCGAGTGAGTTGTAGATGGTGCAGGTTGGCCAGAGATGAGTATGCAGGCTGGTATCTCTTGGTGTGATCCAGGTGCGAAAGCAGAGCAGAGCTGACCCAGCACTATTGCTAAGATGCCAGAAGGCTGCCAATTTCACTGCTGGTCTGTGCATGGAGAGTGAGAAAGGAAGTTCTTCAGGTACTGGAGAATCTCCTTGGTGCTGGGTAATGAGCTGGAATGGGGACTGCTGACCATTGCTGCATGCACCTTGTGGAGCAGTCCTTGCCTACAGAAAAGGGTAATAGATACATTCATTTGAGCCCTGATGCTGACCTATTTTCCTTGACGTTCAGTTACTTCAGTGGCTAGCTTTAATTACAGTGATGTATGTGTTCTGTATAAGGTGCTTACACATGCTTTCTTTGTTTAAAAATTGTTTCTGCAGAGCAAGAAGACTTCTTAACAGTAGCAGAGTCTCTGAAGAAGGAATTTGACAGCCCAGAAACCTCAGACCTAAAGTTCCGAGTGGATGGAAAGTACATCCATGTTCATAAAGCTGTTCTAAAAATCAGGTAGTGGTTGTATTTCACAGTTCCTGTTTAAACAATAAAACCTTTTAGTGTCCCCTCTAAGGGGAGAGGGGAAATAGGAGGGGGTGACGCCTTAAATCTGCAATATATACTATCTGTGTATCTGTAACCACTTGAAATGAAGTGATTGTAGAAGGCATTGAATCAAAACTGCCTTAAAACAGTCCATACTCAGTTTTCATTAAGTCTATTTGTTGTTACCAGAATAATATCTTTTGGTAAGCTAGTCTGATTGCAATGTATACTGAAATGATTCTATAGCATAGGCTGAATTGGTTTTGTCTTGATGCATAAGTATAACAATGTACACTTTATTCTGGAACCAAAATCTGGACCGTTTACTGATAAGATACGGTAACATATATGTGACTGTTGTAGAAGGCACCAAATATGTGCTTCTGAGAGGCTAGAATGTTTTATTCATTTGTTCGTACAATAGTGCTCCACGTGGTGTCTTTGTCTCTTAGGTGTGAACACTTCAGAACCATGTTTCAGTCCTACTGGAATGAGGATATGAAGGAAGTGATAGAAGTAGACCAGTTTTCTTACCCTGTGTATCGTGCCTTTCTCGAGTACTTGTATACAGACAGTGTGGACCTTCCTCCTGAAGATGCTATAGGTATTGTTGTGGTCCAGTTCTGTTAGACAGTAGCATCCAGAGAAACTGAGAAAGGGCATGAAGAATAAATGTATTAATATAGGCTTCTAGTCCTATGATGCATTTTTTTTCTGGTGATTGATTGTGCTGCCTTTGAACAACCACTGCAGCAAATTTGCTACAGCAGAACTAATGTGTGAAGTACTTGCACACCTTACTGAGTATAAGACAGGATAATACAAAAGGATTTGTCTAGATGTAATAATGGAAACTTGGGTAGCAAAGCTAAGAACAAACTGTGATTCAAGCCTAGATTTTTACAGTGGTACATTTATGCTCATGTTGTGCTGGTTTTGCAACAGCACCACTATCAAGCATTTAGGTATGTAAATCAGTGGAACAGCTCACCTATTTATTGAGATTAGCAGGATTGTAGCATGTGGATAATAAAAGGCCTTTCTTCCTATCTGATGGTAAAATACTCTTTTATAAAAGTATTTGCAAGAAGTGTGTTATAGCCATGTAGCACTGCATGCAGAATGCAGATGCAGCCTGTACCACAGGAGAGTAAATTTATAATCATAGAATGGCCTGGGTAGAAAAGGACCACAGTGATCATCTTGTTTCAACCCCCCTGCTATGTGCAGGATCACCAACCACCAGACCAGGCTGCCCAGAGCCACATCCAGCCTGGCCTTGAATGCCTGCAGGGATGGGGCATCCATAACCTCCTTGGGCAACCTTGGGAAATTGTTGAAAGGGCAGAAATAATTGCATGTGACTAATATGATGGCATTTTAATTGCAGGGCTTTTGGACTTGGCTACTTCATACTGTGAAAATAGACTGAAAAAACTGTGTCAGCACATTATCAAGAGAGGGATTACTGTGGAAAATGCATTTTCATTGCTATCTGCTGCTGTCAGATATGATGCAGAGGTAAACTTCCAAAGTTAATCTCTTAAATAAGTGGCTCCTTTCTGACCTAAACTGTGGAGGAAAGCAGTCGGTCATGTTTTCATATAAGCTAGCTCTAAATATCAGATAGCATTATCTGCCACTTCTAGGATTTGAGAATGTTGCCTTTGGAATTAAGAGCTTCATTGCAAATATGGTTTTTATATATATTTTTTGGATATGACTTGGTGGAGAGGAGGGGTGCAGGGAAGGTGAACTGGTACACAGATGTCTAAAGATGACTGAAGTTGCAGGTAGAGAATTGGTATCTGTCAGTGTTTGCACTGCTTAGCTTATGGTGAAAGTCTAGAACACTATGTCAGTTTTCATGAGTTTTTATTTCTGTGGGAGGAAAAAAGCCTCAAAAAAAGAGAAGGTAAAGACTAACTCTCAAACAAGAGAAGGGCTTAAAAACAAAGCAAAAATCCCCTTATGGAAAGAAACTCTTGTAAGCCTCAAGTTATCCATTTTGTAAGGTTGTGGGTTACACATGATATCATGTAGTGGTAGGATCTGAGGAGTGGTTTATTTTCTGAGTTATTTTAACTACAGTCAAATACACTTTCTTTAAATTATGCTTATGAAATGGCAAGATTACAGCTGCTTTATGAACTTAATTTTTGAAGACTGAGGAACAGCATGTGAAAAAGGAGGAAGGCCAGTGAAACATCCTGCAGAATGTCTGATTGCATTAGGAGATCACTGGCACGCAGCTTTGTCATGTAATCAGGAAGTATCCCTGAGCTTTCTTCAGTCTTTTGTGCTCAAAATAGTATCTGTGCATCATATTTGCATTTTAGTTCGTTTTTAACCTGCTATTTATAGAGAGTTGGTTCTCAGTAAGTGATTTCTGTGCTTTTTCTTGCACTTGATAGCTGTAGTAGGCATGAAATACCCCTAATTCAGCTTCTTCAGAGACTTACTTCAGAGCCTTGTGGTGCATTGCTAGTTTGATGTACCTTAGTGAAGGACTACCTTAGAGTCTGAATTATGGCTTCAGCTCTGTGGTGATTAAAGATTGTGTCAGTGCAAGTCACGGAAAACAGGAAGCTTTCTGTACTTCAGCCTTAGAAGGTTGGTTGTGGAATGGGTGTTCAGTGTGATTGATTCTGCCTGTAAGGGGAAGCTGGAAGTGAAGTGAAAGCTGGCCCAAATGCTACATCAAGGAGAGAATGGGCAATACTGAAGGGCTGCCTTGTTTGTTTAAAACAATAATTAAAGATGTATAGTAATAGTAGATCAGAGTTTGAAATTGCTTGGCTGATGTAGTTCATTCAAGAGTCTGGGTGTCTGGAAGACAGTATGTAAAAGGACTTCACTAATTTAAAATGCTTTTAGGACATGAAACTCCCCTATGCTTTTGGGGACTGAGTGACTGGATGAAGTGGCTAGAACTAGTTCAGGTCTTTTTTCTGACTGTAAGGTTAAAACTAATCATTGGATGTACTTGTGGCTTTTTTCACTTAAATCTGTATTAAGTACAGCTTGCTGGGAGTGCATCCATCCACAAATGAAATTCAGACTTTTTGATACAGAGTTTTGAATTTTCTGAAGTTTCTTAACAGTGAAAGAATACTGTTTGTTATACACTTCTATTGCATTGACTTGGTATATGAATTTTTAATAAAGCAGTGCAAAATACTGTGATGTGTATGATGTAATTCTGTTTGAAATGTTGGTTAATTCTGTTCTTAAAAAACAAACCCTCAGTGTTCAGTTCTAATAAGCTTGTCTTTTTTCATTGCACAGATGCCACACAAGTCAAGATCTGCAGCTTCAGAAAGTCTGGTGTTAGGCCAGGACACATTTCTGTATCACTGTTGTGTCAAGAACTCGCTGGCACACAGTTGCTGTAGTTGTCACTATTGACCTTAAGTGAAAATCTGAATAATAACCAGTCTGTCATTCCTATGGTGGCTTAAAGAGCTGTGCACACTTGCTGTGCCTTGCTGCAGCATTCAGTCTGCTGAGCTAAGGAGGAGGGGTGTGTTCTCATGTAGAAAGCACAGTTCCATAAGTTGGTGAAGCACTGAAGGAAGTGGAACAGAACAGGGAGCTGCTGTTCTGGAAGGGCTGTGGCATCTTCCTTATAGCAGCTTTGCTCTGCACCACGAGGAATTGATTTCCTCCTCAAAGGGGAGCTGGAAACAGTCTGAGTGGGAAGCATTCTGTGGTCAGCATCACATTGTCAACTGCTGTCTTTTGTTTTTTAGACATCCTTTCTCTCTGACATCATGTGGGTGCAATGACAGTTCTCTGGAAGGCTTTTCAAATCCTTAAATGGAAGGCTCTTCCAAGTAGTCTCCAGAGCAAACTTTCTGCAAGAAATGCTGTATTGTGCCACAGTGTATCTTTATTTTTACTTGGGTCATCTGTAAAACACTGTGTAACCTGAGTCTGTTTCTAATGAGCACATGGTCTTCTGCCTAAACTCTGCTTTAATGTTGCCTGGTATACACTTGCATTGAGCCTGGTGATGTGCAACTTGAAGGCTTTACACAATTAAGTAGGCAGTTGAGCAGCCTTACACATAGATCTGAGTTCATATTATGGAATGAAAGAGCTGAATTGTCTTCATCCACAGTCTTTGTTTATGTTTTGCTATCCTAGCAATTCCTGTTGTTTGTATTGGGTTTTAACAGCTGTCAGTAAATGTAAATGAGACAGTTCATATGAGGAAACTTATAAAAAAAAAAAATACAAAAAAAATCAGCTATTCTTTTAGGAATGCAACTGCAGCTGTATAGGGAAAACCAAACTATAACTGTTCTGTCCTCATAGCTGTGTTAGTGGGGGTAGAATCATTTTCTTCTGCGTTTATGTAGGGATGCTGGGAGGAGGGAGGAAACGGTTGAAAGGTGCTGGATTAGTTTGTCTGGTTCTGTGTGGAAGTAAAGCCTAGAAAGGCTGAATGTAAGTTTCTGTAATGGAAGAAAGATAATGAGACTTCTTTCTTTTTTTTTCTATTTAGGACTTAGAGGATTTCTGCTTTAAATTTTGTGTTAACCACTTGACCGAAGTGACACAAACTACAGCATTTTGGCAAATGGATGGTCCCCTGCTGAAGGAATTCATTGCTAAAGCCAGTAAATGTGGAGCCTTTAAGAACTGAATTGAGGCTGTAAGTGACAGGCGTCTGTAGGATGTTTTGCAGATGTAACAGGTCAGTGTAACTGCGTGGGTAAAAGTGTTACCTGGTGTCTTGCAGCAGAAGCTGTGCAGGGCCACAGCAAAATGTTCTTTTTACTCAGTGCTGTAAAACTGTCAAGCAGTGTACTTGCATTTAGCAGATCTGGATGGAGGAACTAGCACCAGAGCTCCTCACAAAGGAGAGAGTAAAGACTGCAGCACCCAAGAGACACCAGGTGATGTTAAGGACTTTTGGGCTAGGAAATCCTGTTTCTAGCATTGCCTGTTAATATTTTAAATTTACTGTTTAAGGGCTCAGAGCCCCTGAATGAAGTCAATTAAATCATTAGCTCTCTGGGTTATAAACAGCCAAAGGGCATGGATATCTTTTATTGCAGTTGCATGATGTGAATGAAATTGCTGGTTGCTGCGTGTAATTAACCAAGTGTATTTGGTGCTTAAAGTGTGCAAAAACAATGCATCCTCAAAGCTTGCAGAAGTAACTGACAAAAGTAACTCTGAAGAGAGGGGCTAGCAGATCTTGTTTGAAGCCAAATTCTATATTTGGGTATAACTTAATATAAGTTGTAATGTATACTTTGTGTAATCTGCTTAAGTAATGTTTATTATGACAGTTAGTTAATGGGAAGATTTCCCACTTGGACTTCACTTAATTGGTTCCCTTAGTGGAAAAAGAATACACTGTTCTGAAAGCATTTGTTTGATTTTTTTTCAATTAAGTATTGCATAAATTTAAACTACATGCAATAAATTTTTTTTTTTAATAACTAACTCTTCACAAGCAAACTTCTTTGAAGAAAATGTCAAGCTTTGTGTTACATGTCACCTCTAAGTTGATTTACTAAAACAAACAGAAGAAAAACAACCAGAAAACCTCACAGACTATGTATTACTGAATCTTACTGACCTGACTGTGCTTGATGTGTACCTGTGACCTCCATTTCAGAAAGCCTGAAGCTTGCCTGTAGGTACCAGCACAGTACCTGGTGACTGCAGTTCATGTTGCTGATGAGTCCAGATGGAAAACACAGATGCTGTAATTTCCCAGTGGCCATGTGCCACCTAGTGTTTGTACCATGTGCAATAAGGATGTTATTGTGCTGTCTCCAAATAAAGGGTAGAAAAGTTAAAATCTGAAGTGCAGATTGGCTTTTTGGAGTAAACCTTTGCTCAGTGTTGCAGAGCCAAGGGTTTCGTAGTGTTGTAGAGACCAGGGATCTTCTACAGCATGACAGGAAGAGCTCAGTGTAGGATTGTGTGGAGAAGCACTTCCACATGTCAGAAGCACTGTTAATGCACAACTTGCTCTAGACTGCAAACTCTAAACTAATCTAGACTAAAGGTCAAGCTTGGTGAGAGGGGAGAAACAATATAGGGCTGGCCTCATCAGCAATTCAGATCTTTGCAATAACTAACAAAGGAAAAAGAATTAGGCTGAGTTGAACGAGCTTTACTTCTTTCCATTGATGGTGCATTTTCATGTTTCTCCTAGTAACTCCTAACAAGATAATCTTTTCTCCACATTAATGTGTTGAAGGCTGTTGCTTTTGTTTTAGGAGGCTGCAGGCTGGCCCTGGAGCCTGTTGTGCCATTCTGAAGTGTGAGAGCCATACTTGTCAGTGCTGCTTCTGCTTGCCGCTGAGAGGTACTATGTTAGTAAACCCAAGGGGGTGACAGCCTGCTCCCTCCCAGGCCACATCCCAGGCAACAGTGGGGCTTCTAAGCATCACTGCAGTCAGCTTTCTTAAAAACACTTTATTTTCATTAATCAATGCTTTTCTGTATTCAAACCATTTTAATATAATAGCTCTTAGGATACAACTTCCCTCTGTTTTATCTTTTCTTAACAAAGAAAGGAAGAAGACAGTCCCATTGTCTGATCCATTCTATACTATACACATTGATCAGAGCATAGTACCCAACTGCTTCTGGTCTGCCTGCAGCCATCATTCTACCACTGCTGCTACAGCAGACCTAGTATTGTAGGCAGTCAATCAAAAAACACTTTGAAAACCTCCAGCTTACAATTCAGAAGACTTCTCTCAGTGCAAGTCCTGCTCATTGAAGTTCTTTGGAAAGCCAGAGCAGCACTGTGGTCCTTAAAACAACACCGTGCAGATGCAGACAGGGAAGTGGCCACTTCACATAGGCAGGAGAGGCTGCTGCAATTAAAGTGACTTGAAAAAGCTTTCTGTGGCAGCTGATGATAGTCCCTTGTCTTTGAAGGAAAAAGTCCTGGGGGAGGGTTTTATTCAGCTTTAAAAAAAACCTACAGCTGCTGTATAATACAATTATCCACAGTAAAATTTAAGGAGTAACAACTTCAAGTTATTGCAACAGTGAGGTATAAAAATGAGTAAAAACATCCAGTCTTTGCCTGTGGCCCTAGCCTGGGGGAAAGGAAATCACTTACACACTGACCAGACGTGCTCTATATGGTTCCTATCATCAGAAAATGTCGAGTATTGACACCATCACCGACAGCTGTGGGGTTATTCAGACACTGTACTGGATGTACTGGCAGTACTCTCTTGGGAGGGGAGGGAAACTTCTTTCAACTCCTGCAGTAGCTCAATCTGGTTATCCAGTCTTTTCCTGCTTTCCAGCAGTTCTTGAATTTTTTCCTCAGTCCCTATTGTGGAAAAGAAAGGGATAAAAGCTTTAATCCCTTATGTTTAGATATTTATTAACAGTTATAATTAATTAACAGTTATTAATGCATATTTAATGTGTTATAAATTAACAGGCAGGTTGCAGAGGCCTCTACTGCTCAGTTTTGCCTAGTGACACCACTGCCATTAGAGTGCTGCACTGTGACCCCTCATCTCTGCTTTTCTTTATTTGTCAGTCATCACATTTGGCACTCATCCCTCTAATTAATGGAATTTGGAATCAGCTTCAACATGCATTCTTATTATTGACATAGAAATTAAAAGTAGTTTAGATGGAATCAGAACAGAAGAGGGCAGCTGAGGAAGATCTGAGCTGCAGAAGTAGTGGGGAACAGGAGAGGGGACAACCACCAGCATACGCAGGTGGCAATGGCATCTCTCCTGTAAGCTGAGAAAAGGATGCAATATGCAGCTGAGAAAGAAGCAAGTGTAACTTGGGATGTGAGCAGAGATGTGTTAACTAAATGCCCTCAGACAAGGCAGTGTTAGAACCTTGCATTGAGGTAACTGCAGCACTAGGTCTGGTGATTCAGGAAGCAACAGCTTTTATTCAGTGGCAGCACTCCATTTCAGGGCCTGTTCTCTATAATTGTTTTGGCAACGACTTCAATACAGGGCTTGACGGTACTCTAAGTACTAAGGTTGTCTACTAAGTTTTATGCTTGGAAAAAAAGAAAAAGAAATGCTGAGAAGTAGTACTAGGTCTTCCTGACCTGCTAAGAGTAGGGAAATTGACATGTTTAGAGTTAGAAATAGACTGGGGGCTGAGGCTGGACAATGACAGGGCCGAGGGAATGGCACAGAGCTGTGTCAGGGCAGGAGCAGCCAGGGGTTAGGGTCAAGGTCTGCACCAGAGGATGCTGGGCATGGAACGGCCTGCCCAAGGCAATGGGCACAGCCCTGAGCTGCTGGAGTTTAAGGACAGTGCTTTCAGATACATAGTTGAATGTTGGATGGTGCTGTGTTGAACTCAATGATCCTTGTAGGTCCCTTTCAACCCAGCATGCTCTACAATTCTTTAAATTTTAACAAAACTCTCAGAAGAATAACCTTTATACTAAAACCATACCAAGTGCTACCGCGCTAACAGCATTCACTTACCTGAATGAATATTTGTCAGTATGTTTTCAAACAGTCCACAGTCAAAGAGCGATATTACCGTCTCCTCATACTCTGCAGGAAATGATGATATCACAGAGGAAAGGTTTACAGAAGCCTTGGGTTAATGTAGTAACCTAACATTAGATGCAGCGCTAATTAATTAATTAACGATTTCATTACAGGAATAACTTGCATTACAGCAATTGCTTCAGGTTTTAAGAAAAGCCAAGAAAACACTTCATAGCACATCTAATTCTGGACAACATTTTCAGGGGACATGGCTATCACTGCCTTATGTCAATGACCATGCCAGAATTATGCTTCAGTTTCCCAGTTGAGGCATTCTGTGTTTATTTCAATGGAAGCCTGCAGAGTTCACAGGACCATCAGGAGGTTCTCTCCTGGACTGCTCTTTTCTTCACTGTGTGGGAGAGCACAGCTGGCCTTCCCCAGCTGTCGTACCAAAGCTCATATCAACGAGTACAACAATTTAAAGTCAGAAGGCCTACCAGAGCACACTGAGTTAGCAGCAACTCCCCTCTATGCCAAAAAAACAAAACACAACACCTCTGTCCACCTGCTGCCCGGCTGCAGAAACATGACAGAAGCCAGTTGCCAAGTACTAACAAGGCCCCATGTCTCTGTACCGAGGACTCAAGCGCCTGGCAATCAGATCAACATTTCTGCTGTGAGAACAGTCACCGCAGACCTCCATACCTGTCTCTGAAGTGTTGTCATCCATCAGCTTTTCCTGTGCCAAGTGAAGGGTATCCAACATTTCTTCAAATATGTCATCCAGAAGCCCAGCTTGTTTGCATTTCCTGAGAAAGTCGATTCGGACTGTTAAAACACAAACACACGCATGCTCTTAAACATAAAAGATCCTGAGCACACCAGCTTGGGCTTTACCCATTCATTTCAGAAACTGAAACTTTAGTTCAAAGCCCACTTCTAGTAACAAACACACCCAAGTGGCTCCTCTTGCTACTCACTCAGCCCTCTGTGGAGGGAACAACAGTGGTCAAGTTCTTTACAGAGAGAGTGGTGAGGTGCTGGAACAGGCTGCCCAGAGAGGTTGTGGATGCCCCATTCCTAGAGGTGTTCAAGGCCAGGCTGGATGGGGCCCTGGGCAGCCTGGTCTGGTATTAAATGCGGAGGTTGGTGGCCCTGCCTGTGACAGGAGGGTTGGAGATTCGTGATCCTTGAGGTCCCTTCTAACCCAGGCTGTTTCTGTGGTCAAGAGAATATAAGCACTGTGCTGGGTATAAGTTTACAGAAACTCCAGGCTTTGTTCAGAAATCAATGCATCCCCAACTCCTAATTCACTATTCCTAGAGCTGCTTAATACCCCCTAGTGTAGGAAAGCAGGTGATGTGCTTTTACACTATTTAAGTTTTCTGGACAGCACCATGGACTGAACAGGATAAAGACAGAAAGCAGTGCAAGGAGCTCAATATTTAGGAATCCCAATTCCTGCCCAGGGAGCCACAGCATTCTCATTTAAGGTGCACTGAGCAGCTCTCACACACTGCTGCATGGCTAGAGCTTGTGCAGTCACTGTGCAAATCAGACCGTCTTCCTTGCCACAAAAGTCACTTGTAGATAAGGGAAATTAAAGTTTTCAGCATTGTTGCTATCAAACATCTCCAGGCACTGAACATCAATGCAACACAGCACAGTAGCACGCAGCTGTTCTATAAAGCCAGTCACACCTTTGTGTCTGCTGCTTTTCCTTCTTAATATCCGTAATCTGTTTTCTTCTGCCGTCTCTTCTGCCCTCTGTAAAGAAATCAACACGTTTTAACATCACACTGATGTTTGCTACTCTGTTTTCCATATCTTACTTCTATGTTAATAGGCAGGGAAAAAGCAGCTCATGATTTTGTGAATCAAGTCAGCTTCTCCACACCCCTACCAGTATCCCTCTCCAGACATTCAGGTTTCTAAAAGGGGAAGCAAAAACTGCTTCAAGGAGAAATCAAAAAAGCACAACGAGGGACACTGCCCTTCTTACCTGCTGTTATTGGACTTGCACAATATACTTAACAGCTGAGAAATTCATGGGGACAAATAACCTAGTTGTGAAAGTACTGTCTGAAAGCTTCAGACCATCCATGTCTTCTCAAATCGCACCCTCTACTGCAGAGAGCTGGGGATGGCAGCAGCTCTTCCCAAGGCAAGCTGCAGGCCAGCTCCTCTAGGAAGGAGAAATCCTGACACCCAGCACTTGGGGGAATTCCCATGAAAGCTTTGGTGGAGCCAAGAGAATCCCATGAGTCTCTCTTAATACACTGTCAAAAATACTTCACTAAAGGAGTCCTTTGCTGCAGCAGATGCGGGTTTCTGTTTTAGAACTATTTAAATTTGGAATTACCATTTGTTCCATGGTGGTGGAAGATTTCGATGCGTGTCTTTTCCTCTTATTAGCTGCATCTAGAAATCAAGAGACAATAAAAGTCTGATAAATCTGTGAAAATTGACTTTTTTCTTCCAACCGATCCTCATTGCTGTTAATACACGCTCAAAACTAAGGCTACACAAAGAATTATTTTAGGTGTCCCAAAGCATACTAATTACATTAAGTTTCCTTTGCTCCTAGAAAACCTTCAGAGCTCCCAATGGGAAGCAATGTTATTAGTGAGCTTTTGTTATTCAAGCTGCAAAGCATTTTTTAGTGGCAAAGATCTCTGCAAACTCTGCTTCTTTCTCTCTGCCCCTCCCCATCAGTCCACACCAGCCTCTCTCCACCATAGCATCATAAGCAGAGAAGGAGAGAAAGCTGGAGAAGAGCACAACCACCACCAAAACCTGAGGGTTTTAAACACAGTGGAGTGACGTGGCTCTCTCCCTTATAGCTCTACATGCCTTAGATAGCATGTAGTAAGCATTAAACCTATTAGAAATCATCTTGGGAATGAGGAGTTACTGCTGGTACAGTAAGGTCTGTTAGAACAAGTTCTTTTTGAGCCCTGTGCTGTACATTTGTATTTTTTGTGGCCTGAGAGGAAATCATATCCACCCAAAACAAAACTGGGTGGCCTATTTTGGAACACTACGAAGTGCTGGCATAGGCACAAAGCACGGCTTGCTGTCTGTCAGGACACCTTTGATGAACACTAGGGTTTCCTCAGCCCTTCCTAATAAGTTTTACAGTGCATTAGGAATTGCCTTGGAAAGCAAGGGAACACAGCCCAAACAGCAACCCACCCTCTCCTGTTCCCTGCAGACTGTCCTCAGCTCTTGTATGTGCATCAGGCCTCTCTCTGGAAACATCCAACACTTCCAGCTAAGCAAAGGCTGGAGCCCACTTCCAAGCTCAAGCTGCCCTTCCATCCCTGCAGCACAGAGCAGCAAAATCTCTAGGCCCTTAAGGTACCCTATCCTCTTTCCATCGCACAGCAGGGGCCTCACATTTCCATAAAGGAACGTAGAATGTACCAAGAACAAGGGGGATGTTTCTCAACTGTTTTCTCCAGACTACCATGGAAAACATGCCCAGAGAGCTGGTTAACTCAGAGACACTCCTGACTACCCCCAAATGCAGCAAGCACCAGGACCGTCAAGTTCAACTGTATTCCTGCAGCAGGGGAAGCAATCCTTTAACACAAATTGCATTTTGCTACACGTAAAAAGCTGTTTGGGATCCTTCAGAATGAAAGGCCATGTTTAAGAACTACTGCAGTGAATGGCAAAGATGCTTAGATGTTAGGTGTTCTAACATTGCTACAGACAAAAATGCCAAGGTGAGCATTCCTGTAACAGCCTTCTCCTTGCTCATCCAGTTTGTGCACCACTCACATCTCACACACTTTTTTTTTTTTTTTTACAAGCTGCTTGGGCCTTCCTGCCATGAAGGGTTGGATCCACAGTCAGTTCTGGGGGAGATCTGGAGGTGCTCAAATATAAACATTTCCTAAATCAACAGAACTTATTGATTTCTGGTGCACACGT